ATGTGTTTGTTATTATGAATGACTCACAAAAATATCATTCTTTTTTTTTTATTGCACAAAAAATTAATGTTTCGAATACGAATACATTCAGTTTATTACCTTACTTTTACTATATTTTTATAGGCATTCTTGTCGTATATTATTATTAATATATTTGTTTTTTTTTTCATTTGTGTTTTCGTTTTTAACAAAATTTTAATCTTCGCTGTTTTATATAATGTATCAGTCGGAAAAATCCTGGTATGAGCGTATGACATGTAGTTATTTTTGTAATAATGATGTGTAGTTTTTAGTAAGAAAGAAGTGTACATAATGGTTTTTCATTCTGTTTACTGTTATAAGTTGCATACTCAAATTTCTAGTAAAAGTTATTTGAGCGTGCGTTTTATGTAATTATTTTTTAAAAATGTTAAAATACAAATGTATCGTAGCAATGTAGTGAATCAACACTAGTTATTGTAGTTAATTATTCAGAAAAAATAAAACAATGCCTTATAAGTTTTTTCAATTATATTCTTTTACTAAAGATGGATTTTTAATGAAAATTGGGTACGATTCCATTACAACATAATTGTCTAGACCGGTTTGTCGATATATAAAAAAGAATATTGTAGACAGAATGTTAAAATTAAATTAAAAGTTCTTTTACTTCATTCTGGTTTCCATGACACGATAAAAAATTCTTCTTTGGGATCTGTCCATTTTAATAAATATATTGGATGCTCTGTATAAAAGTAAACCACATAACCATAAAATTTATTATGAAAAGGTTAAAATTTAGTCATATACTCGCGTCTATCTGCTGATGGAGCTTCTCTAATCAAATTTTTTTGCAAACTTATCTAACAAGAAAAGTAAAAAAAGAAAATGACATTTTTTACATATTATAAAGAAGAAAAGATTGTGTACTTAGTATAATTATACAAATTATTATTCATTATAGATATATTTTGACCAGAAATTAAACCAATATTCTCAATTCAAATTTTGCAATGGATCAAATGGAAGGATGCATTGCTATCACAGCATCTACCGGTCCCAGAACGCAATCGATTAGATTTTCAACCGTGACCCATGTGATCCCATCGGCAACACGACGTCCAGCCAGAAGAAGACGTTATAGAAGATTGGATGATATTCGTTTCAGTCGGCGTGTGACACCATATCAACCACCTTCGCCACCTCCACCACCTCCGTTGGTTATTAATTTACCAAATGTAGTTGGACATCAACCAATAGATGATGGAACACCAATCGGCATACCTGAACAGGTTCGTGTAATTCTCTTTTTAGTTAATATAAATTTTTTTTACATGTAGGAGTTAAATTATCCGATGGAATGGAATACGAATGGAATAGATCGGGGTGGAAGATTAAGTAAGTAATAATAAAATATCATCTGTTCGTAATAAATATTGATTGCTCCGTTTCTAGATCCATAGCACAATTCATTATTTCAAAATTAAAATAATAGTTAGTTAGATAGTTAATTAGTTATCATAAGCACTAAGGTCTTCATAAGGTTTATTCTTTCTTCAACAGTTCTTACTCTTCTCTCTCTTTCTTATATTCTTTTAGTTTCTAATTAAGTTAATTAATCTATTCTACATAATTCTTTGTTAAAAAATTTAAATTAATTTTAAACATTAGTCAGCCTATTAAGTCTAGTTAAAAACTCTTTTAAATGTAACAGATATAAAATAATTATGCCGGTGATTTATGGTGTTTGATATTCATGGTGAAATGGATTTAAAATGATTGGAATATTTTTCGATATTAAACAAATGAGTTCAACTCATATGGAAACAGAGATTTAAAAAATAGATATTTATTTTTTGATCTCGGTCCCTTAAACAAAATATAACTTTTGAACAAATCAAAATTAAATAGTGGAATACGTACGAAGTTATTACAAATGTTTTGTATGGAATTTATGCTGTTTAATATGTGCCCAAATATTTTTGAAATTATTGTAATGTGTAAATAGTTCTTTTTTTTCTTTTGATATTTACTCAAGATGCTTTTTTGTAATCGTGATATAATAACAGTGAAACTGTATATTATTATGAAGTTTTTATTGATAGTAGAAAAGATTGTGTGTTATGTCACCAGGAATAGATAATGTATTTGTATTTTATCTTATGTATGGTTAACATTTTGAATGTGATACAGTTTGACACCTATTAAACACTAAATAACAGAAAAATCTTAAATTTATGTGATAAATTTTTAGTGTTTATTGTTTTTTTTAATATTTAATCAAGCTTTTTTCATTATTTTTTTATATATTCAATCAAGAAATTTTTTTGTTATATCTCTTATCACATCAAATATATCGAGATTTTCTAATTGAAATATATCAACTAACTTTGTCTGTTTGAAAGATCGAAATATCGGAAACAATTATTTAGTTAATGACTATATAATCGGGAGAATCAAGCTTTCGATTTATATCTATAAAATATATAAAAGAATTTCTTATGCTTCTATATGCTAATGCCATCTGTGATGTGTTCTGTACTTTTGACACAAAGAATGACTAATCAACATCTAACCAATCGTTATATATGTATAAAGAGACGGTCAGTGAATGTATGAATGATACTTCATCGACCTTGTTAATAAAAGTCAAAACTTTTTTTTTCAATATGTTTTAGTTTATTTCATTGAATATGTTGTTAATACCGTCCATTCAATTATTTTCATTTCTTATCTTCTTACATTTTATATCAAGTATGATTTTATTTATTCATTTATTTATTCTTATTCGAAATTTTTGCTTTCTAGTAATCAATAGTTTAACTACAGTTGATCTTTACAGTCCATGTAAAAAACAACCATCATTAGGTATTGAATCTGGTACTATTCCAAATACGGCCTTTTTTGCTTCATCATTTGTACAAGGTCGTGAACCATATACTGCTCGACTTAATGGTCGTTATGGTTTGTTTATTCCTATTTTTTTTATTATAATTTAAAATATTTATTTGTTATTCAAGCATGGAGACCAGCTTATATGGATGCAGATCAATTTTTATATATTGATCTTGGTTCTCGATACTATGTAACTGCTATAGCAACACAAGGACGTCGTGCAGCTAAAGAATTTGTAAGAATATATAATTTAATGTATTCTGATAATGGACATAATTGGTTCTATTATACAAATGAAGATAAAATCATTGTGGTTTGTTAATTCATAATAGAAATACTATTTTTACATAAATATTTGTTTCTAGAATTTTGCTGGAAATAAAAATGATAATGGAATTGTTCGAAATAATCTTACTGATCCAGTTATAACACGTTATGTACGTTTTAATCCAAGACAATGGAATAATTTTATATCAATGCGTGTCGAAATTTATGGGTGTCCATTTAGTATGAATTAATTCATTATCTTTTATAGTTTTTTCTAAATTCTTATTTTTATTTAGCTTCATCATCATTCAGTTTTGATAGTCAAACAATTGCTTATTATGATGCTACATTTGTTCCATTACATAATCAACAAGATGAATTACGTTTACGTTTTAAAACAAATTATCCAAATGGTGTTATTTTTTATGCTAAAGGAACACAAAATAATGATTATTTAACTATTGAACTTCGTAATGGAAGTATTTTTGTTGGTATTGATTTAGGTAAAATAGTCGTCTGTTTTATTTATTTATTTTATTAACAATGAATTATTATATAGGCTCAACACCTGAACGTCCAGGTGCTACTATAATTCAAGCTGGTAGTGTACTTGATGATTATCAATGGCATGATTTAGCTATTATACGTTATTTGAAAAATGTTTCTGTAAAAATTGATCAAGCAGTTGTAAGAGAAGAATCACAAAGTGCTTTTAATGGTTTAGATCTCGATGGGAAGGTAAACAAATGCATCATTTATTTTTCCCATGGAAAATATCGCGCATAGTTAACACAATACAGAAATATCCTTAATGATCTAAGCATAGTCAGATTTTAAGTGCTTGAATCCAGTTGATGAATTCTTAGTAGTTACATAATCATGCATCTTACAAAGAAGTTCTCATATGTTTACTTTATTTAGTTAAAAACACACTTCTATCTTTCGTAATCAATATATTTTTTTAGCTTTATGTTGGTGGAGCACCTAATCATATGGAACGAGGAATAATGGTTCGTCCAAATTTTCAAGGCTGTTTAGAAAATGTTTTATATATAAGTCCATCGACAAATTCTATATTGGATATTTTACAAAATTTACAACGACAAAATCCATTCTATGGTCTTGAACAAGGAATGGTTGGTTCTGGTGCTATGTGTGAAGTATGTTAAACATTATATTATCTTTCATTCTTTTAGTTTTTATTCATTATATATAATAGACCTACATATAAAAGTGAGGAGATCATAAGTTTTACATATAATGCTGTGCTGTTTTGCATGATAAAAAAAATATGTTATGAAGTTTATTTGTATTGCATGTTTAAGCATGATGAATGATATTTGTTTTTTTTTAAACAATAAAACATTGGGAAAAATTTTCTTTTAGGATGATTCAATGAATATGCATCCATATACATTTAAATCATTTGATTCTTATCTTGAAATATTTCGTAAACCAGGTGCAACATCTATTGATTTAAATTTTCAAATGCGTACATTTGAACCGAATGGAGTTTTATTTTATACGAATTTATCTGAACCAAGACAGCTAATGATTGGAATTAATGATGTACCTGATCAAGATTTTCTACGAGTAAGAAAAAAAAGGAGATTTTATAATTAAGCTAATCTTATTGTTATTTAGCTTTTTCTCGACGAAGGACAGTTAGCATGTACAGTACAATTAGATGGAAATAAACGAACTGTTCGTCATCATCGAGGTATAATTTAGATTGATATAGATTTATATATTTAAATAATGAAATGTTTAGATTATTTAAATGATGGTCAATGGCATGAAATAAGTCTTTTATTAACACAATTTCGTTTTAATATAACAGTTGATTATGAACCTGAATTTTCATTTACACGTAATAATTTATCAACAACTGATCGTTTTACATTTAGTACAAATGGTGATCAAGTTAATCGTGAAACAGCTATGAATGGTTTTGTAGGTTGTATAAGACAATTAGTTATGAGTGGTATACAAATATTACCAAGAGATTTAGTAAATAATTTAACTGTTTTACAATCAAATAATAGACCAAGAACAGGAACAGTTATTAATCATGGTGTACTTGTTGATGCTTGTGAAATGTTTGATCGTTGTACACCAAATCCATGTAGACATGGTGGAATATGTCATCAGGTAATTTCTATTTTCGACATAATGCTTTAAAAGCTATTATATAACACGAGAGAGAGAAAGATATTGGTTTTCTATTACATAACAATAATTATATAGAAGAGTTTCTATTACATAAAAACAAATTGCTAGTGTAAATTTTAAGTTCTATTGTTTAATTCTTTTCTCTACGATTGAAATTAAGATGAATAATTATAGTGATAAGAAATTGTCCTAATAAAGATATTTTTTTTTGATATATTAGACATGGACAAGATTTTATTGCGATTGTTCCAATACAGGTTATAGTGGTGCTGTTTGTCATATAACTGATATGCCATTATCATGTCTCGATTATAAATTAAATCGTATGAAAATTGATGAAATAATTCCTGAACGTTTGACAATGATTGATATTGATGGTAGTGGTCCGTTAGCACCATTTTCTGTTGTATGTCGTTACGGCTCGAAATCTGATCAACAAAATGTAACTGAAATAGGTCATTATAATGAATTAGAAAGTTATGTATCAAGTGGTTATCAATTACCTGATTCACTTTATTCTCAAACAATAAATTATCGTGTACCATTACCACAATTATTTACTCTTATTGATCGTTCATATGTATGTAAACAATATATTGAATATACATGTTTTAATTCACGTTTATTAAATTATCCAAATTCACCATATGGTTGGTGGGTTGGTCGTACAAATCAAACAATGGATTATTGGGGTGGAAGTGAAATAGGTACAGGCAAATGTGCTTGTGGTTTAGATATGACATGTGCTAATCCAAATTTATTTTGTAATTGTGATTCACAATTTACAACTGAACTTAAAGATACAGGATATTTAACACGAAAAGAATTTTTACCTGTACTTCGTATGGAATTTGGTGATACAGGTATTTTTTTTATTTTTTATAGAATTTCAATTGAATATATATTTATCTTTAAAATAAAATAGGACCAGTTGGTTCTCAACAATATGGTCGATATCAAGTTGGTCGCCTTTATTGTGAAGGAGATTTACTTTATGATAATGGTGTAACATTTCGAAAAGCGGATGCTATTATAACAGTACCACCATTTGAATCTAAAGTAGCTGGTGATATACGTTTTCAATTTAAAACTGGTTTTGATTCAGCTACATTTGGTTCAGCTATTATGATACAAAATATTGGTTATGATGATGGAGATCTTATTGAAGTAAATATTTGTTTTTTTTTGTAATTAATTATTTATTTAAAAAAACACAATTTTGATTTATTTTTAAAGATTCGCCTTCAATCACCACGTGAAATAGCATTTCGTTATAGTGTTGGTCGTGGAACAAATATTGTAACAATTCGTGCGCCATATGATTTTAATGATAATGATTGGCATACAGTACAAATTGAAATCAATCGACAAGAAGCAAGATTAACTGTTGATGGTTTATCAGCTGCTAATCCAGAAGATCAAACTACTTTTCGACATATACATTTAACATCAAATTTAACTATTGGAGCATCAGTTACGAATCGAAATGGTTTTGTTGGATGTATACGAGCATTTCAAGTTAATGGAGAATTAGTTGATTTAAAAACTCATGCTTTACGTGGTATGTATGGTATATCACCAGATTGTATGGGTAAATGTCAAAGTAATCCATGTTTAAACGGTGGACGTTGTAATGAACGTTGGTCAACATATGATTGTGATTGTACATTTACACCATTTCGTGGACCCATTTGTTCAACAGAAATTGGAACACGATTGGAAGCAAATACAATGATTAAATATACATTTCCTACACAAGGTAAAAATAATATTTGGAAAATCTATAAAGTATTTGTTTTGATTGAAGGTGTGACTGCAACTGAAGAAGAAACAATTCGTGTTTTATTTACAACGTATAAAAAACAAGGTATATTAATGCAATTAAAATCTGATAAAGTCGATGAAAAAGGTATGGTGGATTATTTTACTCTTGAAATGAATAATAATGGTGGTGTACGTGTTAAATTTAATTATGGTTTTGATACATTTGAATATAATGTCCCATATGATTTAACTAATGGACAAGATCATGAAGTTATTGTGACACGTCGTGAGTATGGTAAACGTATTATAATTACTGTTGATAATTATGAACCATATACTGATGTATTTCCTCAAACACAACAAATTGATATGCAATTTGATAGTCCACGTGTAATGTATATTGGAAGAAATGAAACAACACCACCTGAACAGGGTTTTAGTGGTTGTATTGCTCGATTACAATTCAATCGTATATTTCCATTGAAATATGCGTTTTTAGAAGAACGTGATCCAAATATAACATGGACAGGTGGAAGTATTCGGTAAAATTAAAATTAAACTAATTTTTCATTTTTTTAATGCCTCTAATCCTTAGGGAGTGGCCATGTGGTACAGAACCTGTAAAATATCTTCCTGAACCTCTTGAGATTCCACCTGATCGTGGATTTTCTATTCTTGGTTTGTTTATTTTATTTTGTTTATAATATAAGAAAATGTTTTTTATCTTTAGCTTTACCACGACCAATTTATATCGCCAATATTCGCGCTAGAAATTTAGGTATTATTATTGGTACGATGTGTTTTCTTGCAATAATTATTTCAATTGGTCTTGGATTATGTTATCATAAATCACGTAAAAGTGGTCACTATAAAACAAAAGAAGATCAAGGTGCTGATCAAGCAATTGATGCTGATGCAGCAATAATCAAAGGTGATCCACGTCATCCAGATTTAACTGAAGCAAAAGAATGGATTTTTTAAATATTTCTCTATGTTTATTCATTATTGCTCATCACTTAAGATTTGAAAATCTGCTCACATATTATTTTAATTTGTGTGCAGTTATTTTTGTATATGAATTCAATTTTTATTTAGTATTACATTTTAACAAATCAATTATGTTTGTGTGTTTTTTTTTCTATTATCATCTTTTTTTATATTAGTAAAAGTTTATTTACCATAAGATAGCAAGTATAATCTTTTTTCTTTTTTTCTTCTTCTAATATGTTAATAATAAAAGAAAAATTGAATCTCAAAAACTTTTTTTTTCTTGATTATTTTAGATGAATTTATTTTTTTTTCGATGTATAAAATAAATAATGACGGTTTTTTGTCTTGATATTCTACTGCATGGAATCATTCCAGCAGTAACTGGTGGTTTTTATTATGATCTATATACAACACCATTGGCTAATACTGTACATATATATTTATGGATTTGTTTTATGACATTTCCTTTACTTTTATATCTAGTAAGTTTGTCAGATTTAACTATAAGATAATTTTTTCTTTTTTTTTTATTAAAGTTTACACCAATTAGTCTATTATCCTGTTATGTCTATCCATTAATAATAGCAATATTATTTTCTATTGTAAAATTTCTTAACTATCGTTTACATAAATTTTTTGATTTGGCTGTAAGATGTGATGATATACTTGCTGAGAATAACAAATCAACAATAAATATTACCGATGATATTGAAATACAACCAAAATTACTCAATCAACATACGACAATTGATGCTCCATCGGCAGAAACACAGTAGATATTATTTCATATACATATGCATCTTCATACTTTTAAATTTTCTCTAGGCCTTTATGGATTGATTCATTATATGGTAGTAATAATTCTAATTTACCATCAATTTATGATGAATCATATGCTCGTATACGTCGTTCAAATGCTACAACAACAAATGATTGTCATTCTTCAGCATTAGTTGTACCTTCAAAGCAAAAATCTAATGATCAAATAGATGAATTAACAAAATATTCATTAACAGATGTTATTTTACCACGATCTAGTCTTCAAGATACATGTGTATCTGATTCAAAATTATGTGAAAAACATGAACAAAAACAAATAATTAAAAATTATCAACAAAAAATTTCTATTCGTCGTGTTCAATCCGATTTTAATATGTTCTTAATACATAATGATATAACTCAATCAAATTTAATGGAATCATCTTCAATGAATGATACTCGTTTAAATAAAAAATCAAAATCAATGGTCGATAATCTCAATAAAATTCGCTCAACAAATAATGAAGAAAATATATCAATTGCAGAAAAAAATGAAGAAATTATTGACAATAAATCGGTAAGATTCTCAATTATGCTTAATATGAGTAAAAGTGAAGGAGATAATTTAACCTTTCCTGGGCAAATGTCAGTATTTTGCCGTAGGGGGGTACGGGTTTTTTTTCGAAAACAGATTTATTCGTTTGATTATTACGGAAAAAAAACAAATTCTTAATTATTATAGGAAAAGCATGCTGAACCATGTTCAACTGTTGATGTTCCTATTGATGATTGGCGTCCAATCTTACAGATTCTTGAAAATGTTTTTGCTGATGATGATGACATATCTAGTATGATTCCTGAACAACCTGAATCTCTTGAACCATTATTACCTAATAAAAAAACTTATGATAATCGATATTCATCAAAATTAATTGAACAACAAAATGATAATCAAGATGAATCAACTATTCCAACACGTTTTCGTCGTACACATTCAAATCAAGGTGGACGAAGACGTCGAACATCACGTCGTGCTACATGTAAAAAAGATTATCAAAATTCTAGTTATTTGATTTTGTTTTTGTATTATATAGCTGTTGATCAACGTCAATCTTATTCTAATGGTGAATCGAATTCAAATTATCATCATCATCTTTCACCATCATCATCATATCGACGAGCAACTGTTCTAATGAAAGGTATAAGTTTAGAATTTTTATCATATTATAATTTTAACATTGATATTTATTTTAGAAACTTGTTTCGATGAACGAACATCAAATTATGATTGTAAAATAGATTCATTTCTTTATTTATAATATTATTATTTTCTTTATTTAGCTTTACGAGATGAAACTAGTTTACGTGATGATTCATTAACAACAACACCATCAGAAGAATCATCACAATTAATAGCTCGTACTACAGATCGACTTCGATGGATACCTGTTTATCGACGAAAGTATTTTATTAGATATTATTTTATTTGTTTTTTCTATTATTATTATTTAATTAATAGTCAATATGATCAAGATTCTTCATCACAAATTATTGATGAAGTTGAATGGCATAATGAAACAAGTCCAGGAACTGTACATTATTTTCGTGATGAAAATGGCAAACTTTTTTCATATATTTTTGGTGATACATCATGTCAAGCACGTATGGAAACATCAGATCCAAAACCAATGAAGTATTTTATTTTAAAAACAAAAAAATATTCTTTTTAAATAATATTTGTCTATATTAGCGATATAATAACACGAAGTATTAGTGATGAAACTGAAGAAACAATTGAACAAATGCCAAGAGAACAACAAATAACACCTCCACAAACTCCACTAACAACTGTTCGACAAAATCATGAATCATGTTCACTTTTTGGTCGTCGTCGACGTCGTCATCATCGACAACCACATCGATCACGACGACATGAAGTAAGATGATTATATTAAGAAAAGAAAAAATATATTTTTTTTTTCGTTTTTTTTGATTGCTTCATCGACTTCTGGACGACCGGTTATAATAACTGATGAAACACGACGACAAATATCAAGTAGTATTGATACAACATCACAAGAACAACAAATACAACAACGTGATTATCAAACAAGAATTAAACATCGCTCAATCAAAGGACAAACTTATCGATTAAAATTATTCAATAAAAATATCATTGTTCCATTTGATCGTCTTTGGTTATTAACTGTTTTTGATAGGTATACATAAAACGAAGATAAACTATCATATGATTTCAGAGAGTCTTGTTTGAGATTAAAAAACTCTAATTTCTTCGAAGAATTGTTTTCCTTATATACTACATGACTGTAAGTAATATAGGCTTACTGTCTCTTCGCCATTGGCGAGAGTTCAGGCGCGATTTGGCGTAAGTCGAGTAGATTTTCGCCAACTGTATTAACACGAGATTAGTGCAAAATGCATGTAACAAATTTTATCGTCACTGGCAAAATTCGGGAATCCCTTCAAGTCATCGAATTTATAATTAAACAAGAAATTTATATAACTAAATTTTTTTTGTTTTATAGAGATCGTTCAATACCTGAATGTATTCTATGTATAATCTTAGCTATTAGTGTTTCTATAGCTGGTATTCACGTTCTATATAATGATGTTTATTATGATTTGGAAATTCTTATTTATTGTTGTGTTATTGCTGCATCTCAATATTCATTATTAAAAAGCTGTCAACCAGATGTGAATACACCTGTTCATGTAAATAGAATTCATATTTTGAATTTCTTCTTATTCTTTTCGATTTTGTTTCTAGGGTTTTAATCGTAATACGGCAATAAGTCGTGCGATCTATTTTTGTTTATTTTCAAGTTTATTATTAATAATCTATAAATTAAAAGTTTACTCATGGCATTTTCTATTATTTGGAATAACATTTTCAAATATAATTGTCTGTAATATGATCTATAATATGTTATCAATTATATTATTATGTTTACCATTATTATTTCTATTTGGTCTTTTACCACAATGTTCAACATTTCTTCTTTGTATACTTGAAAATTTTGATATGCATTTATTTGGTGGTACAGCTATGATTAATATTCCAGGCGCTTTATATAGTTTTATATTATCAATAATTTATTTTATTTTTCTTTCAATTATTGGATATTATGGTTTATTAATCGATACATCAAAAGTAAAACAAAATGATTTTATTTCAAAATAATTCTTGTTTTTTTAGGAAGATATGCAAAATATGTTATTTTCAGTTTATTGTGGTTTAACAGTTAGTATTTGTTATAAATTAAGTCGTGGTTCAAGTAATCCAACTGTACTTTGGAATATAATAAAATATGATTTATTTAAAATCAAAATAATATCAACGAATCATGATGATATACAAGATCCATTGCCAGATAAATTAAAAACTATTGTAAAACAACGTTTTCAGTCAGATATATTACTTTGTTTACTTATATTTATTCTTGTTTTTGCTGCACATGCTTCAACAACATTTACAAGTCTTCAAGTAAATTCAAATAGTTTTTTCTTAATCTTTTATTTGATTTGTTTTTCAAAATTTAGCCAATACTTAATTATATTATATGTTCATTGGTGATTATTTTCGGAATTTTATTTCATTATATATTACCACAACTTCGGAAACAATTACCATGGTTATTATTTAGTGAACCACTTATTAAACAAGCAGATTATACATTATTTGAACCAACAGGTAAAACATATGAAATGTAAAAAGATAAATAAAGAAATATTTTTATATTTTAGAAGCAACGAAAGTTTTGTTTATAGAAAAATTATTTGTATGGATTGTTTTCATTGAAAAAAATATTCTTTTACCATGTACATATCTTGGTGCGTTATCACATTCAGCACCAATTGTTATTAAAAAATTTGGTTTATTGTAAGTACATAATATAAAAGACAATGATTTATATATATATTATATTCTAGATCATCAATATTAATTTTAACATTATGTTCAATGAAAATGCTTCGTATAGGTTATTGTAATTCTGCAAGACATTTTCTATATGTATTATTAACAACAATGATGACATATGTAATGACATCAAATCGTTCAGAAACATTTTTACTGAATTATTTTATTTTGTCTATATTTACTGAAAAAGTAAGTTGATAAATATATATATGAAAAAAAAAATTAATTCAATATTTTTTATTTAGTTAATTGATTTTAAAGAAAAATTAAATTTCATTTTTGTCTATTGTGCACCATGGCAAATATCATGGGGCTCAGCATTTCATGCGATAGCTCAACCATTTTGTATACCACGTAAGAATTTAAATTATTCATTTAAATATATATGTATAAGTTATTTGTTTAGATTCAGCTATACTTATTGTTCAATGTATAGCATCAGCGTTATTAAATTCTCCATTAATGCCATTATTAGGTAGTGCTGCATTTATGTCATCTTATCCACGTCCAATAAAATTTTGGGAAAAAAATTATAATACAAAACGTATTGATAATACAAATGTACAATTACAAGCACAAATAAATGAATTTCATTGTGGTCTGGATGATAATAATTTAAATGCAATTTTTTATGAACATTTAACTCGAGTCTTACAAACATCATTATGTGGAGAAATTCAACTTGGACGTATGTTTGAATATATATTCTTTATAGTTTAATTATTTAAGAATGTGAATAGAGTTAGAGTAGAAATCTGCACCCACGACCCCTCTTCCCCACCGACACTTTAATTAATTGATTAATTACCCACTATGGGGCGTGATAAACGCAGTCTGATGATCGTCACACATTGTGGCACTTGGCTTCAAAATACTAGTGGAGGTCATACACAACTCAAGTCTAGTTATATTATCTACCCATGTCATCAAAACCGTGGGGAAATCGATGATTTAGCACTCGATTAAGTGTGAGATTTATCACAATAAGCCACGATTTCGATAAAAAGTCGTCGATTAGCCGTGATTTGACCGGCGATTATTTTTCGGAAAATCGCGATATAGAAGCCGATTAATTGTGAGATCTATTGCGATAAAATCGCCAAAATTAAGGACTTTTTGCCGATTTTTTTAAAATCGTGATTAATCGCGCAGATTTTGGCGATTTCAATGACATGAGTATGCTCTAAAGTAAAGAATGATGGCGAAGTATGCTCCAATACACATAAGAAAGATGACTTTTTAGGGAATTAGTAAAAATAGATTTATCATATTTCACATTTTAATTCCGCAGGGATTACACTAACAGATTTTTATCACATATCAAGTAAAGAATAATAAATCTATATAAAAAAACTCTTGTTTTAAGTAATTTCTAATATGAACGATTTTTAAATTATTATGTAATTTATTTTAGGTCTTGGAAAAGTCAATACAGGTGATTTTTTTATTTTAACAAGTGATAGTTTAAATTGTATGATTCATCTTATTGAAATCGGTAATGGTTTTATAACATTTCAACTTCGTGGTCTGGAATTTAAAGGTAATCAAATAGAATTTTTCATTTCTTTTTAATCAATTAATTAAATATCTTAGGCACATATTGTCAACAACGTGAAGTTGAAGCTATAACAGAAGATATCGATAAAAATCGTGGATTATGTTGTTGTGAAGCTGGTCGTTTTCCTCATATGCTTTCATTAAATGCTGCATTTACACAACGATGGCTTGCTTGGGAAGTTATTTGTTTAAAATTTGTTGTTGATGGTTATAGTATAAAAGAAAATAAATTTAATGAAACTGTTGTTGGTTATGATTTACGTAAACGACTTATTTCATTAATGATTAAAGTAACAAGAAAAAATTCTTATTGAATAATAATAATTATAATTGATACTTTTTCTAGGCAGTTATATTTTATGCTATACGTTCCGATCAACTTGTTACTTGGCTTGAAAATGAACAAATTCGACAGGCAATGATGGTATTTATCGATCCAGATCAAGTTGATGTTGATCCATCATTTACAACTTTATTTGATGATGATTTTAAAGTTGGAGCGGGAGGTGTAACAAAAAAAACTTTTACATTTATTTATGGATCTTGGATTAGTTTATGTAATAATAAACGACAAACAGTAAAAACATTTTTTCGTTAAAATATAAAATACTAAAAAATATTTTTTATAATAATAGCCTTTATCATCAACACAAGAAGATGATTTAACAACATTTTGTTTTATTTTATCATTACTGGCACGTCGAACTTTATTTAGTTCATTACCTTCACAGTATGAAATTAAAAAAAATAATGATTTTATTTCTTATCTAATAAGATTATTTATTTTTTAGTCATACGGTTTTACTTGAAATTTATCATGAAAATTTTGTTCATGGATTTTATTCACTTTTTAAAGGTGATTTTCGTCTTGCACCCAAAGATGAATGGGCATTTGCTGATATGTCCTTATTGAAAAATGTTGTTGCAGAAGGTGTTCGAATGTCATTAAAACTTAATCAAGTAAAATTTTCCTATTTATTAAAAATAAATTCATTCTTTTATTTTATTCACCTAGGATTCATTTCTTGAAATGTCCGAATATCTTGACAATGAAAAATTATACGATGATATTGGTATGTCTCATAATTAAAACTATAGATAACTAGAGATTGAGTATATTCTCTCTTGGAAAATAAGAATCAACCGAATGCGAGACATGTTTAGTTCTTTGAGTGAATTTGATCAAAGCTTCTTTTTCTGGATGTGCGAATCGAAATGTCGGCTGGGCGAAATGAAAATTCAGGGTGGCTAGGCACCGCCCATAAGCTAGATAAAACACTGGCAGTGGTTGGCGGTCCGACGAAAACCGATTCCTCGCCGCCTCCATACTGATTTTCTGATAAAGATTCCCAACCAGTAGTTTCAAAAATAAGCTCGGATTTGTTCGTGTATATGTAAACTAGAATTGTATTGATTTAATTTAGCTCAAAATGATGTTAATCTTGTCATAACTCATGAAGCTTCACCTGAATGGCGAAATGCCATTTTATCAAATAAACCATCATTATTAGCATTAAGGTAAAAACAACAAATATCATCTCTGATAATCATAAAAAACTCTGTTGATAATTTTAGACGAGCACTTGTTGAAAGTATAGATGAATATCGAATAGTTATGTTAGATCGTCGTCATTTATCATTTCGTATTGTTAAAGTTTCAAAAGAATGTGTACGAGGTTTTTGGGCATCACAACAACATGAACTAATATTTTTGCGTAATCGTAATCCTGAACGTGGTTCAATTCAAAATGCTAAACAAGTGCTTAGAAATATGATTAATTCATCATCCGATCAACCAATCGGTAAATTATTTTCACAGAATAAGAAAAGAACAATAAAATCGTTTTTCATTTATTTTAAGGTTATCCAATATTTGTCTCTCCTTTGATAACATCATATTCTTCAACAAGTAAACCATTAAATAATCTTATTGGTGGTGAACTTGCATGGGATTTAATTCGAAAAAAATTATCTGCATTTTTTCAACGGTATTTTTTTTCTTATTTTATAAATATTTCATCTTTATTTATTTATTTATCTTATAAATAGAGCACATACATTTTTTCTTTCACATTGTGTTGGAAATGCATCAGGTACAAATGAAGTTATTCAACTAGCTGAACGACGAACAATATCACCTCAAGGTACTCATCATATTCGACAATCATCATTGAGTACATCTGGAAATGCAACTCTCGCTGAACAAATACGTTCATCTTCAGTTCAACAAAATATCAATACAAATTCAAATAATGAAATGATTGTTAATACTAATTTAAATAATAATAATAATAAAAAATCTCTTCCATCTGAACAACAAATATCTACAGCTATAAAACGTACATCAGATAGTTTAATGGTAACAACATCAACAATAATTAATGATGAACAAACTCGAAGACGTTCATCATTATCAACGGAATTAAATACAAGTGATCGAAGTAGTCGAAAAGGTCTTAATTCAATGAGTAATAGTGTATCAACAACAATTAATTCAAATAAAGATCTATCTACAACAAGTAATATACAAATAAATCGATCAATGATTACATACTCAACAAATGGAAATTCAAATGAAAAAGTTGTTATCATTGATACTACAGCTGTAAGTTTTGACATTGTTTATTTTATCAATGATAAATTGAGTTCGAATTTGACAGGTCTTTTCGATAAGAAACCAGGACTGTTACTGTTATATATCAACAGTTGTTGCTTAATATAGTCCATCATATAGAGTGTAAAGTATCTGTTTGAGAATATAAACGGAAGGGGTTACAATCTAAGGCATTACCCTCGGCTAGATGCTTATTGAAAAAGTTACTGAGTACGTGTTATTCATCAGAGCAAGCAGTCTAAACATAATTATAGATTATTTGAACTGACATATGTGAAAATAGAAAACAAAACTTTTCTTTTTCTATATCTTTAGATATATGACTCGATTAATTTGGGTCGTCGAATTGATGTTATTTGGCCTAATGAACAAATGCGATTGAATGGTGGTCGTAATGTTTGGTCTGGTTGGTTACCAAGTGTTGGTATGACTGGTCTTGTTGTTCATCGTTGGATACCTAGACATCGTGATGCACGACAACGATCTCATATTGATAAATGTATATTACTTGTTCATATAGATAAATATGATAAATTTGTACCAATTGCTGAACATGGTGTACGATTTATTGGAGAATCAACATATCTTTGAAAAAGAAACAAACGAACAAAATTTCTTTTGTATTTCTTCTTCTTGTTGTTATTATTACTATTTTTTTTTCTAGTCTAACTGTTCAGGAAACAAACAAAAACGAAAATAAATAAATAAATACAGTGATAGAAATATAATTATTATCAATCGATTCCAAACGATTTGTTTTCTATTAACGAATAACATTTGTTCTAGTTTCTTTTTTGTACGAGACAAAAACAAAAACATCAATCTTAATATATACGATAAAAACTTGATTTATAATATGTTTATAATATGCAACAAATAAGCAAAATATCCTATCATAATTTAATTATTATTATTTTTTGATAGACAAAGTCGAACAGTTGAAATAATATTTTTTTGTTGCCTATTAAATCATATATCTTTACCAGTCAATATATATCATCAACTCATATTTTATCAGACGTAAAAATGTTTTTTTTTCTTCAGTTATTACTCTGTCTGCTTCCCCTTTTCTTGTATCTTTTCAATTATAATATGGTAAATTTATTTTTAAAGAGTGAATGCATACAATTATCACCATTATAATTTTCATCGATTGAGTAGAAAAAAGGAAATAAAAAGAAACTTTTACTAATAGAAGTATATATATATGCTTGTGTGAAGTGTATGGTTTAAGCAGATGTAATTTACAATCGTATATCAAACTGACAGTAGTTGAATAGAGAATAATATAATCTGTATACTTCAGTGTAAACGGGTATGTTTTTTTATAGATTTTTATAATATAAGGTTTTTACAATATGTCATCACTTTGTCAAACAAGTATATATTTTTTTTCCTTATCTACCATGAGCAAAAGAACTGCAATGTATTTGTCTTTGTTATTTATTTCGAAATAAAAATGCGAAATCAAATATTAATGTAGACAGAATTAAAAAATCATTTATAAATTCATATTGATAAAATATTTTTTATAAATAAGAAGAAAAAAAACAATTAATAGAATGACTGACACTAGTGTAGCAGATGTTCCTTATTGTATTGTTGATAAAAATCGAGAGTATATATCTATGAAAGAAAATAGCATACAGTGCTGTCATGTCAAATATACAATTAGTTCGATCGCCCATTTAATGGTATATACTTTTGCCTTCGTTGGAACTAACGAGTAGGAGGCTATATGACTGCTAAATGTTGAAAGACAGTGTCTGTTGATTTGAGGAATCATGTTGAAAAATTGCACTGGAAAAAAAAGATATTAATATTCTCAAGTAAGAACAACTTTATGTTTTCGTCTAGAATCAACAAACTCTTAAATTAATTCTTTCTTGTTTTTTTGTTTATATAGTCTAGGAAAATATATAGCTAATCTATTTAGTTAGGATAATATGACCTTTTTTTTTAAATTTGCATTCAATTGAGAATAATCATATGCCAGTATGTAACTCATATTTATAGAAATTAGAGACAGAAAGAAAGAAAGACAAAAAAACAAATTTTTTTTTGATGAATAAAAGTAAACTAATGTTTTCTAATTTTTTCCTTCTTCTTCGCCTTCTTAGATGACTCTTAGCAAGTGCTTTTTACTCATCAGCATTCCTATTATTACAAAAAATGATAAGTGTCTATGAAATATATGATTATATATATTAATTTTACTTTTTTTTCCGATGATGTACTACTAGATTGAAGAGAAAGAAGCCCTGATATTATTCGGAGTGCGTACCCGAGCAATAGTTAGTTAATATGTAAAAATGCACGTCAGTTAGTAATCTATCATTTGAAAGATGATATTTGTTTGACTTCTTATATACAATCTGATTAGTAGGTATTTTTATCTATATAATTAACTAATTTTGATTTTTCTTATAAAAAGCACGGTCAAATGTATGTTGTCAGATCATTTGAGTTCTACTAGTTTTAACAAATGTATGAAGTTTATTGACGTATTTCTTTTTTTCTATGGTAAAAATCTAGACGAATGTTTATATATGCATTTTAATGAGGGTAAAGGTAAATTTTGAACAGATTTTACATTACATTCACGTCATTTTAGTTTAAGCAGTAGAAACTTTTATATTTACGTCATTCGAATTATTTGAAATATGTTAATACTATTAGTCAATTTAATCTTTTTTGAATATAATCATTTTGCCTATGAGCTACTTTAATTACTTACGCGTACTGACATTTATATAATTAATTTTTAAGATTAAAATCAAAATTATTCAAAAAAAGTAACTTTAAGGACATATAGAATAGATGAAATATCTCTATATAAATTTAGTTTTTGCAGTCTATAACACATATCAAAAAAAAAATACAATAATGACTTTACAATAAAAAATATCCTTCATGACTGCTAAGAATAATCTAAACGTATTTAAAATAATAACTATTTTTTTAGTATTATTATAACTCTTCATGAGTGAACTAGGTATTTAAAGAAATATAACTTTTTTTATTTAACTATAGACATGAACCATGTGTCTGATTTTTATTAGAATAGCATTCTCAATGTTACTATTCATATCATAGATAGATCTATCATATTATTTGAATATTTTTTTATGAATGAATTCATGAGAAAAAATGTAGTCTGTAGAGATAATCGTCTAGATAGCTTTAACCATGGGAGTAGATTATCTATATAGGAATACTTAGAAATTAGATTTGACAAATATGTATTATCACCACACATATTTATCTTAGTAAAAACAAACTCATCAGTTGTTCTTGTATTTTTTCATAGGACAAATAATATTTATGTGCAATCTCTTGCCTTTCTCTCCTTCTCCTTGAGGCATTCTAACACTCTGCAAGTTATGTTATCATTTCACCAGCAACTGCTGATGTTTTTCTCATATAAATTTTTTTTCTCCTTCTCGTCTAGATGCTCTTTAATATAATAATTCTTCTATTTGTACTTTATTGGACAATATAACAGGTAATAGAAAAAAGAACGATTCATTATCATTAATCATTATTGATTTCTATTGTTCATATACTATTTCATTTGTTTTTTTATTATTATTTTAACGAATAATTTTGATTGATTGTTTCTTTATTATTATGAGATTTTTATTAAGCTCTTCTGTTAAATTATAAAAACTCGGTTAAAGGTCCTTTTGCCCTATATTTAAAAGTAAGATTACTGGAAAAGATTAGGAATGTTCCCTTTTTATGTAAAATACATCATTTTTACATTTAATAATATATGAGATAAACAAAAAATAATCCATCAGAACGTAAGTCCAAATTAAATCATATATAATAAGATAAAAGAAAAAGAGCAGTTTTTTTTCTATCATTTTTTATTTTTTTCAATTCCCTTATCTAATTATTGATTTGCTTTTTAGAAATGATATGAATTCTTTTAATTTCTTCATAATCGAAATAATACAAAGGGTATAAATAGTGTCGAATACTCATGAGGAACATTTCGATTAATAAAAGAGAAAGAGAGAAGATAAGTCAAAAACGTTTCTTTATCGTGTTTAAATTATGAAGATAACTTCGTGCATGATTCCTACATATTTTGACACGTTTGCGACATGTTTTCATAAAGTAAATTGCTGCTGGGCAATTATAATGCGTCTATAGATAATACATATTTTTTCTTTATAACACTTGACCCAATTACATTTATTATACTATTCTTTACGTTTGCCTCTCATAAATCTACATTGATTCATTGGTTAAGTTATACTCGTAAATATTAGATTACTTAATCATCCCTATTATTTTTTTTTACTTCTAATAATAATTGATTAAACATAGTTGAATAAAAATTCATTATGCTTTGTTTACACAACATTTTCTTATTTGACAAGATGCGTGTGTTATAAATCTGATCGTGTGTTACTTGTAAAGACGAGGGAGAGAGAGAGAGAAGAATAAGAAAAAGATTAAAAGAAACCAACGATGCTCATAATCAATACTGCCAATCATTTTCTTAGAGAATAATCTAGTAGATGACAACTCTATGTTGTTATGTCTACTTAGAGAAAGCGAGAGAGAAAAAAATTATGTTGATGATATATTTCCGTTTTTTTTTTAATATTATTATTAACTTTTTGTTTTTCTCCATTGAAATGATTATTATCGTATATTCAATTTTGCAAAAAGGATTAACTTAGAATAATTTTCAAATCTATTTCTTGTTTTTTTCATAGATGTATTTTTAAAAAGAATAATCCTAATAATGACTACATTGATTAATATTGGACTTATGATTTATTTTGCGCTCGTGGCATTTATAGGCACACTTGGCAATGGAATTATTTTATTAGCTTATGGAAATCGTTGGAATTCATCAAAATCAACATCAGTTATATTTATTCTTATTCTTTCTTGTGTTGATTTATGGACATGTCTTGTTGTTGTACCAACAATTGCGATAATGGAGTATCGTGAATTTGAAGTACCAACACCACTTTGTCGATTTTATTCATTTTCAAAAATCCTGATTATCATTTCATCATTAATTATGTCATTTATTGCATTAGATAGATTTTTAAATATTGCCGTACCACATTATCGTTTACTTAATCCACGTCGTGTTAAAGTAAGTAATAATGATGATGATTGAGAATCAGAGAAGAAAATGTCTACTTATTTCTAGAATGCGCCCATTCTAGGTACTCTTTATTTTGTTATCAATTAGCTCGTTAAAATATTTAGATTGAATTTCAAGCTAAAATTACAAGTTTTCCAACATTCTGTTATTGATTAAGATTCTTTAGAAAAAAAACCGATCGAATTACACAGTCATAGATACTTATGCATAATATTAAATATTGTATCTATTTTCATTCTTTTATTGTCATATGATCAATTCATAGACTTTAATATTTTAATTTTGCTTCGTCATTATAAGTATATTCAGTATATGACAAGTGCTGTAATTACTAGAAGAAAATTAGTTTTTTGTTGAGTTTAAAAAAACGCATCTATTTATTTCTACGATCCTATTTTAGATATTATCTGTCATTATTAATAAATATGTCTGAACACACCTTCCTTATTAAGAATATTTTTCGTTAATTTTATAGTGGTTTTAAACATCATAACAGGATGTATGTGGAATAAACGACGGAGTAAAAGACTGCTACAAAGTACATTTTTAAATCCTTTGAATTTAAAAATGTACTTTGTAGCAGTCTTTTATTCCTTAGTTTATTCTATTATTACTCCTACTGTTTCAAATGGATTCAGGATGTATTTACATTTATGAGAAAGAAAAAAAAAGACTTATTCTATCTAATAATATGTAGATTATTAAATTTTATTATATACTTAAAATTCTATTAGATTCATCTGTATTCTATATGGTTTTATTTTTTATAAACAAAATCCTATCGTAAATCTCATCTAATACTAACTACTAACAAAATTCGATAATCTTTACATCATTAACTAAAGGAAGTTGTTGTGTATATGCGTCCTGTTTTTGTAGATTATAATTTTGCATCTTATCACAGATTTTATTTTATTATAGTTAAATAATAATATTAATTATAATTTTTTTCATATATTTGTTTTATCAATAATTTAATTGAAATTCGAATATATACATACACTATTGTTAAGAACATGAAGAAAACTAGAAAATTTATTTCCACATCTGTTCGTCTTCATTAGTACTAGTAAATTTGTAGCATATGGAATTATTTTTCTAGTGTTTGTTTGCCATTTGTGTTAACCTATTCTAAGAACATGAAAAAATATCAATGTCATCTTATTATATCGGCAAAGAAAATAATTCAAACTGACGTATAGTAGTCATTAGAACATATATCATCCGAATAATTGTTCTCAAATTTCAAATATCTTACATAGCTTTTGAGATTTCTTTTTTTAACATTTATTAATATTTTATATTGAGTAAAATCATTGTGACATAATTATTCGCCTTGTTGAATAGATTTATATTTAGTACTACATTTCCTTCAATTATTTCACAGTTGCTTAACTATAGTATAGTTACTTTCCAAATAGTTGAACAACTAGGCATTAGATTTATATTTTACATGAAATAACTATCTTTAAAACATATCTCGAAATATTTGCTTATTTTCTTTAGTTTTTACTTATAACATTTATTTCAATTGGTGTTGGATTAGGTCTATTAACAGCTTTAGCATTTTCATCTTCACCCTATCGAGTCGTTTATCTTGCTAATTATACTTTAATTCCATCGAATCAATCATTTATGATAAAAAATGATGCACAAAAAATCTCAATAACAAATGAACAAAAAAATGTTCCATCATTTAAATTAACAGATTTAATGCATGAACAATTATCTATTCCTGTTACTATAAATATAACAGATATTAATTTAACATACGTATCTACGCATGATGTATGTTTTGCTGATACATCAATAATATCAGAAACAATACGTGATATTTTACGACATATATCAAATAAATTTTTTTTTATTTCAATTGGTATTGTTACGATACTTTATGCTATAACATTCATTCTTGCTTTACATCGACAAAATCCACGTATACGTGCATTAAAAAAAAGTTTAAATGTTCTTAATAAATTTGATTCATATCCATCCAATAATCATCATCATCATCAACAAATCAATTCTCATCCAGTTAAACAACGAACTGATTCACTCGCATCATCCTATTCACCATTAGTTGCATCAAGAAAAATTAAACAATCATTAATTGATTCAAAATGTTTATCCGCAAATGATAATCAACAATTTGAAATGGCAAGTTTTAATAGTAGTAATGAAGAACATGATGTTTTAACTGAACCTAAAACAGATTTTCATCGAAGTATATCAGAAGGACAATCAGATGATTTACAAGTCTCAACAGAAAAATTTTCAAATATGAAACAAGTATCATTTCAAGTTGCGCATAGTGAAGATCCATTAATTAATAATGATAAACAACATTTATCATCTCGATCAAATTCATCTGATATTGATTTAGATCGCAATAATGATACTTATTATAAATTTCCATGTCCATGTTCAACAACACGACAATTATTAATAAAATTTCATTTTGCTCAACCAACATTAGATATAAATCAATGGTTATGTTATTGTTGTATGAAAAAATCGAAATCATCAAATGATAAACAAATAACTGAAATACATCCATTAGAAGATGAAGCAGCAACAATATTACCACCACATTTACCATCGAATCAATATCATCAACGTACATCAATATCAAATAGTGAAATATTAAAACGGCAACTTCATCGACATCGTATAAAACAAATTCGTATGGCATCAACATTTTTATTAATAACTGTATCATTTGTTCTGTTTTATTTACCATCAATATTAAATGCTGAACGTTATATAAAAAGTCCATTATGGATTTATTATTTATATTTATGTACACATGCATTAAATCCAATTATTTATTGCTTTATGAATGTAAATTTACGTGTGTATATTATTTCAATGCTTAAATGTCAAACAAAACAAAGACGACATATGTCTGTTGGAGGAGCATCAATTTTTGAACGATAAAAAAAATTTTTTTGGATAAAAATAACAATTCTATCTTTCATAAAATTTATTTTCTTGTTGTATATGTAATTTTTTTTTGTGCAGAATATAATGTATACTTTCAGAAATGAAAATAAACAAATGAATTGTCAGTATGAACGATATCAAAATTGAATTAATTTAAAACTTGTAATAACAAAAAAATAGAGAGTTAATTTAATTCTTGCAGGATAGAAAATCTGAAATCATTACCATTCATAATACGAAGAGATTTTTTTAGCAAATTGATTTAATTTAAAGGTCTGCACATATTCAATAATCTCATCGGGTTCATCAAATATAATTAAATCGAGATATTTTTCGAACTTTTTAAATGTCTAACAAATTGATGCGTTTCTTTTTTAATGATTTATAAGGGTATATATATAATTTACTATTTATATCTACAAAACAAAATTTTATTTCATAAAAGAGTGAATAAAAATCAATTTATAGATTTATTTTTTTTTCTCTATCATTGTGATTACATACCATTTTAATATGTACATATACCTGGTTATTGACTTTTTATCGAAACGAACTATTGATTTTTACGTTCGATATGTATATATATATTTTTCTTCTTTTGTATTTATTTGTCATTGATCGAAGGAAAAAAAATACGTGAAACATACATATATACACACGTTTTTTTCTCGTCTATCTGAGCGTCATCTTCGACAAATATCATTACCAAAAACACATTTACGTGCACTGTGTTGGTATAAGTGTATAGATTACATATATTTGTTAACAATATTTTTGTTAATGATGGCATCAACAAAACCTTCGATTTCTGATGGTTTAAGTAATTTAATTTTTGTTTTTTGTTTTTTGTTATAAAACCTAATAATTATATTTAACCTTCATAGGAATGACTCAAAATATTCATGCATTTTTACGTATAAGCATATTAAATTTTCAAATTAATAATAATCAACATATTCATTTAAGTGATGTTAAAACACAAATTGAACTCAAAGAAAAACATCGATCATTAGATGATAATATTGAAAGTAAAATAAAATGAATTCATATAATTGTAATATATTTTATAGAAGAAAAAATGAGATATTTTATTATCTATTTAAGGACCAGCACGAGTTAAATTTCCAATGTATAGTGAAAAAGAGCAATGTATACAATTTGATGCTGGTATATTAAATAAAATAAAACGACGGATTGTTATTCGAGTTCATGCAAATAATGTGATTTATACATATGAATCAGATTTAGATGTATTAAAAAAATTATCTGATGGACATCGTCATCGAGTATATTATTTTGATTTTTTCTTTCTGATTTTTTCTTTTCTATAAATTTTTTTAGTTCTTTTTCATACCTAGAGCTCAAGCTGAGATGATTATTAAATATAAAGGTCAATTTACTGAGTATATACATAAATAAAATACAAGGTTATATTAACTTTTACTCTAGATCCATCAGGACGAACGGTTTATAATATAAATTCTAATCAAGCAGATAGCCGTTATGCTGAACGAAGACAACATGTTCATAGACATTTTGGTCATGAATTTGTTCCAAAAATATTCAAATTACCAACATATTGTTCTGTATGTTCAAAATTACTTTGGTAAGTTTTTTGAAAAAAGATATAAAATTATTTAATTGATTCGAACTTTCTTTTTTTTCAAGGGGATTTACTTATCAAGGTTTTACATGTCAACGTTGTGATTGTGTTGCACATAACGAATGTTATAGTCAATATAGCTGTCCATGTAAAGGAAAAAAATATCCTGAAGTAAAAAATTTAATTTATAGAGACTCATTCACAATTTTTTTTATTTTTAATTTAGTTAAAAATGGATGAACCACATCATTTTGAACAACAATCATTTTCTTTAAAACCTGTTTTTTGTCATCATTGTGGAAGTTTTATTCGACCTGGTCATGTACAGAAATGTTCATGTATAAAAACCGCTTTTTGTTTTGTTCTATATTTTAATTTAGTAATATTTAGATTGTGCATTTACTGTTCATCGTCGTTGTGCATCGAAAGTAGGAAATTATTGTGGATGTGAAGAAGATGTTTTAGCTATATATGAAAAATGGAGAGATACGGTATATATATAATATGTTTTTCTATTTAAAATAATTTTTTCATTTTTAGAGAAATTATCAAGCTGATAATGATTATTTATATAATGAAGATTTATATACAATTTATTCAAATCTTGATAATACTGATCAAGTAGGAGATGCACAAAGTGCTATTGATCGTATATCAAAACGCTATCGACCGAATATAACTTCAGGATTTGATATAAGTCATTTTCGATTAATACGTTCATTAGGCCAAGGAATGAATGGATCAGTAAGTATTTATTAGTGAATTTTATTAAAGAGAAGAACAGCATAAAGACAGAAGTTTCTAGGACAATCTAAGTCATTGAAATAGAAAAAGGTCTCTATTCTCTTGACTGATGGGAAGGTGACACAGGAAAAAACGAAAATGTTGTTTGTAGACAAGGTGAAAAATAAAAAATACATTCTATATAGAGATGTTACAAAATATACCTATGAGGGTACCCTTAGGGTCTCATACCATAGAGATACCATCTTGATTTTAATCTCTGTCATGCTCTTTTGAGTTGTACCACTGTTTTGAATAACAAAAAATTTCTACTAAGGTTAAATTTTGTACTAGATAATTGTATGAATGCTTTTGCTTTTAGCGAAAAATCTAAAATTTTTCATCATTATTGATTAAATTACACTTTAGTCTTTGTATTAACTGTTTATTTACTTTTCTCTCTTAATTCCACTTAAGCTTATGTAAATTTTTCGTCTAGAACATTATCGGATTATATGCATTCAAAATTCTTAATCAATAATAGATCTGATATACACTATAGTATTCAGTTTCTTCGAAAAAATATTCACAGAAATTAATTAAGAACAGATTCATTTATTATTCGAGATACATCTAAGTACCGTGGTCATATGTTTTTCGTTGAAAGTTAACTGATTATTAGTGAATTTTGATAAAGTGAAGTTTTTTTAAAACAGGTTTATCTCGTACAATATGGACGAAATTATTATGCAATGAAAGTTCTTCGTAAAAATCTTGTATTAGAAGGTCAAGATTTAGCATATGTTATGTTAGAAAGAGATATTTTGATACAAAGTCAATCAAATCCATTTATAATTCAACTTATGTATGCATTTCAAAATGCTGAAAGACTTTTTTTTATAATGGAAGTAGCTAAAGGCGGTAATTTTTATCGTCTACTTATTAAACAAGCACCAAGACCATTTCGCTATGAACGTATTGTCTTTCATACAGGTGAAGTAGCATGTGCACTTCAATTTCTTCATTCAAAACGAATTGTATGTTGACAAAAAAAAATTTTTTTTTTCAATTAGAAATATATTTTTTCTATATATAGGTTTATCGTGATCTTAAACCAGAAAATGTTCTTGTTTTTGAAGATGGTCATGTTAAATTAGGTGATTTTGGTTTATGTAAAAAAGATATTGATCAATATCCTAAAGCTGTAACATTTTGTGGTACACAAGAATATATTGCATATGAAATCTATAGACATTGTGAATATGATGAAAATGTTGACTGGTGGTCATTAGGTGTATTTATATTTGAATTATTTACATTTGTTACACCATTCTATGATGAAGATGATTTTCAAATAGAAGAAAATGTTCTACATAAAGAAGTATATTATCCTGAAACAATGCCAATAGAAGCGAAAAAAATTATATCTGGTTTACTTGAACGTGATCCAAAGAATCGTTTAGGAAATAAACTTTCCCCACATGGATTACTAAGTCAACAATCATTCTTCGAGTAAATGATTCTAAATAGTTTTATAATTGAAGATAATCATTTTTTTATTTAATAGATCACCATACACATTAGATGATATTGAAAATCGACGAATACCTCCACCATGGACTCCAAGTGTATGTAATAGAATTTTTAAAATGATTTATATTCAATTCGAAGATACTATAAAAAGTTTCCTCCTATTGATCAATATCTATCGTTAACTGATCTAGTCATTATAAGATGATAATAATCATCATCACATATATAAGAGATTATTTACTAACATGATTAATCTATATAATTTTTCTTTTTGAAATTTTAGTCATTAACATCATTTGATCCAAGTGGTGATGAACTACGTCTATCTGACTTTGAACAAAAAGATAAAGTATTACTTGCATCAATTCCGGAAAAAACATTTGCCGGTTTTTCTTATGTTAGTGCGAAGAGTGTAACACGTTTTTAAGAAAAAAAAAAGTTTGTTTTCGTTATTATCTACATTTACCGGTGAATAAATAAATTGTATTTGTTTTTTTGTCTAATATTAATAATTATCTTAATTAATGTAGTATTAGAATCTATATTTCTTTTATTAAATTTAAATTGATTATTTCTATTTGTAGATAAATAGAATTTTTATATTTTCAGGTAAATTGTTTTTGTATTGATTGAGAATGTTTGTTTTTCTCTTAGACAAAAATCAGTTTCTTTTTATTTATGAAATAGGCAAAAGTATTTTGTTTATTCTATCTATTCAATTAATATAGAGACATGACTTTCTTTTTCTAGAACCCAAAAAAAAAGAAATAGAATGATCTCGTGATTTGATGATTGTAATAAAATAAAAACTGGAAATATTTTTAAGTTTATTAATACTAATTGACCATGCAATCATGAATAAGCAAATATATTTATTTATTAACTAGTTACTAAGAGCAATTAAAGGTTTCTTTTTATAATAAAAGAAATATATATTACTTAATGATCGATTCATACAATAAGAATCGTTATAATTGTCATTTTTTTTTCTCACCATTATTTTGCAAATAATTATATCTGTTTTATGTTTTTTCTTGCTTTATTAATTCCAATTGATCTGTCATGAAATTTATTCTTTTAATAGATAAAAGGTCGAATATAAAGAAATAATCTCATCTGGTATAGATAATTTAATCATTTTCTTTTTTTTCTCGTTATCATCATTTTCGCCTAGATTCGTCACATATGTCATGGCACTTATAATCTTCGTAAGAATATTTTTAGTCGAGATTAATGCATCTATTTTCTGTATACATCAATGTATATACACACACATTCTTGTTCTAATATTATTTCCGATTCTTCTATTAGTAAATGTCATGTTGATCGCGAAAAAAGTATGGCAACTTCTCGACTAGCTACAAATAATCAGATGCTGCTTGCCGTTGTCGATAATCATACTAAAAAAGAAGAAATGAATATAAATATATGTATACATATATAGATCTTGTCACAAGGTCTGATGAAAGAGAGAGAGTCGACTAAGACTATTTCCAATGTAAGAAACATGTGTATTCCAGATGAATCATAATAATGATGTCAAGCATTTATTTGACTTTCTTTTTTTTTTGGCCTACGGCTGTCTCTATTTACTTTTTTTATTCTTCTCTTTTCTTCTTCTTCTTCTATGCTGACCGATCCGTCAGTGGTAGTATAGTCCATATACTACTCTTCTCATGGTAAGTTAGTCTCGATGCTCTCTACATTGAAAGAAATGCGAGGGATTAAAAAAACATTTTATTCATTCGCCTTCTTCCAGCGATAGATTTAATAATTCTACTCTTTCTTTCTTTCGTTCTCTCTTTTAGATAGAATGATATTTTTGTAAAAAAAAAACATAGACACAACGACAGAAAGAAAGAACCCACACTGTGCACTGACACACACGCACACTCGCTTCTATTTTTTTTGTGTTGGCTGTATCGCCTATTTTTTTATTTATTGTTTCTCTTTTTTTTCCTCGTCTCTTTTTTTCTTATTCTAGAAAATACAGACCGAACCAACCTTGCTAGTAACGTTGGCATGTAAAAAAGCTCTTTCTCTTATTCTTCTTTCTCTCGCTCTTGCTCTCGCTCTCTCTCTCTCTTCTCGGCTGTTCGTTTGCTGCTTGAGTCGACAACAACACACACATAGAATGATGGCGCGACGTGCAGTGTAAAGAACATAATGGAACAACAACATCCATAACCAGAAAAGAATCAACAGCACTCTTATTGAATTTTTTAATTTAGAAATCGCTTTTTTAACGCGTCTGCATTTAAACAAATATTATGATACCATCAACATTGAAAACTATTTTTGTGGATGCTGATCTTGATGATTCATCCGTTATGCTTGATGTTCAACATCCCTATCGTGATAAAGATCTTCTTTTAACAAATCATTATGATGATGTCGAAGATGATATTCATGATCAGGTAAGATAATATATAAAAGAAATTATCATTCATCAAATCTATTTATTTAAGTTTCTTTTTCTTTTTTTCCTTTTCTTTTCTTTCATTTTTCGTTTTCTTTTGTTTTTGTTTTTGTCAACACGTACCTGTTGTTATGCGTTTATATGTTATGCAAAGCTCTTAACAAATGTTATCCGCAAAACACACACTGTTTTCGTCTTCTTTCAATATAGGTGGGCATGTTATCATGCCTCATCAAATGATGTTGTTGTGCGACACATTTTGCCTTCAGAATTAATTGATACGAAAACATATGATAAAATATATTCTACTTTTTTTTTTTTAAAAAAAATATAATTTCATAGATGGAATCGAAAGTGTGATGAAAGATAAATCTATCATGGTCATTTACTAGGAGGAATATGAGATAATTAGCATGTGCTTAATCAAGGTTAGACAATGAACACTGAATATTATCATTTTTCTTTCTCTTTTTTTTATTAAAAGAGAGAAAGAGCCTAGATGAAAGGTTTCTTGTAGGAAATAAAAGAGAAAACTCCCGGTATTTTGTTTCCATAGGAAATGTCATTTGTAAAAACACATTATATTTGTCGGCAAAATACTAAATTGCTATTATATTGATTGTTCTCTTCTCATTAGATTTATTCTATCTATTTTTTTTCTATATAAGAAATCTAAAAATAATTCAAGCATAAATAATATAAAACTATTTCTTTATTCGCTTTGCTTGTCATGATGTCCTTTAGCTATAAATAAGTATGCATCTTCATCATTATTTTCTATCAAAGTGACGTTTCTTTATATATAGTTCATTTATTTATATATGTATGCCTTTTATCTTGAATAGATTATATTTGACCACTAGACTAACATCCTCTATTATAGGTTCACTATTCTCACATTTATTCTCTCTTTCTTCATATATACATATAATAAGTATATTCATTTTGTCAAGAGAACCTTTAAGATGAGAAGAGCAAACGAAAGGCGTATTTTACGATTTATTACTTTTGCACCTTCTCTCCTACATTTCACAGTTGATGGCATGTAAGCGTAAACTGATACATATTACGTATGTGTAGTTGAATTAATTTTTTTTTCATACGCATATTCTTATTCATTGTTATTACTAGAATTGTTTGTGTTCGATCAATATGTATATATGTACTACTTAGTTACATATAAATATAACCTTGAAAATGAGAATGTCATTTGTTCATGGCTTTCTCTTTTTTTTCTCCCATTTTTGTTACCTCGAGCAAGTAATATATGTGTGATCGATTAGCTCGATTTGAGCTACCGATTTCACACAATATATTGAATAATTGGAGTAATAATAAAAAGAAAGAAATACCGGAAATAGTCAATAAGTAGCAATAGTAATGTATTTGCTGTCAAAATAAGAAGAAAAAAAAAAGAATCGAAAGAAATTTGCATCCTGTATTAATCATAAAGATACGAGTAACGATTAAATCTGTGCATATTTTATTATTATAAAAGCATCTGCGTGCGTATGTTCAATTTGTTATATGCAGATGTGCATGATTTCTTTTTTTTTTATTTTATTCCTATCATCATTAAAAATGTTCGAAGGGAAATCATTAGTTATTACTTTTGGAGTAAAAGAGGAGAACTCGAAGACAAGATACGATCAACAGGTTCAATCATCTCGTGACGATCATCAACGTTGACATACTCACATCATTCAAACATATGTATATGTATATAAATGGGGTAGAGAGAGTGTAGAAAGAAAAAGAAAGGGAGACACCTTGACGATCTGTTCTCTTCAGAGTATGTAGAGAGCACTATTGACGAGAAGAAAAAGAGAAGAGAAGAGAAGAGAAAGAGAGAGAGAGGGGAGAAGAAAAAAAAGAAAGAAGAGAAAAAATGGGGCAACTTTGACAAATCATTAGCCAGTCAGGCGCTTTACTTATGTGACATGCTGGCAGAAATGAAGTCCGTTTGTCAATATTAACAATCGAGCAACTGTAACAATAATAGCCATGTTTGATTCTGATAATGATTTATGGGTAAGCAAATTTGATAGATGAGAAGACAAATGTAATGGAAGAGTATAATTATAAAAATAAAAAATTGAAAAAAAAAAGAAAGAAGTCGTCATATTATGCATCATATATTGACATTAACGTAAACAGATAGATTTCTTTATGATCCTTTTCTTATCATTTTAAAAAGTAAAGGTTATGTTTTAAAAAATTGTTGTTAGTTATCGACAAGAAAAAAAGCGAGTCATTTTCTTTTACTAGTAGATGATTACGTGACTTTTCGATAAATGAAAAAGAAACATAAAATAAAAATAGTAAGGAAGGCATTGGTTACCAGCCACCTGTATATACATACATATAAATGATGACCTTTAACCTAGAATAATTGAGTACTCTTGTTCCTTGCACTCGTATCTAATTGAAAAAAGGACATCCATAGTTTATTTAACATTGTACTTTTTTTTGTTAATAGAATTCACCATTTTTTGGTTTATTCCCTCCAACATCGGATACATTATCAAATACGTTACTTTCGGCATGTCTTAGTCATGACAGTTCTGGTTCAAGTTCAAATGGTTCATCAGCTGCATTTTCATTTACGGATTCTGCTTATGCATCATCACAATCACCACCACCACTATCATCATCATCATCACAATCCCAATATTCAAATAATACAGCCAGTCAATCAATTTCAATTATGCGCGGCTTTCAATCCCAACAACAACAACAACAACCCCAACAACAACAACATCCTCAACAATACAAGCAAAATATTAAACCTGTAGCATCTACACATTCATCATTACTTGCTGGTTTAACAACTTCGACACCTAGTTCAAGTTTGTCAAGTGTTCATTCAACAACAGATAATCCATGTTGTTCATCATCACCATTTTATCATAAACAACAACATCAAGAAGATCATTATAATTATTGGAATTGTCCTGGATGTCAAGAAGCATATAAACAAAATCGACCACAAGTTCTTCAATGTTTTCATTCATTATGTGAAACATGTATAGAAAAATTATCCGAAAATGGAACTATATCTTGTCCATTATGTAGTGTAACAACGATGTTAACAGATATTTTACCTGATTATACAATACAAAATAATCATTTAAATACACCCAATGATTATATGTTATCATTAGGTGATAATTCTGCACAATATTGTACAGCATGCAAAACTTCAGAATCAATGGCTGTAGCTAAATGCTTCCAATGTTCGAGCTTCCTATGTAATCAATGTGTATGTGCACATCAAATAATGAATTGCTTTGAAGGTCATCGTGTAAGTGAAAATTAAATAAAGAAGAAAAAAAAAAGAACGAAGGGAAGAAAGAATATTTCTATTGAAATATATTTTCTTTTATGAACTGATTTATTATACTTTCAAGTTCCTTTTTTTCTTCTCCTTCTCCTTTTCCTTTTATTCATTATAGATTTTATTTGATTGATTTCTTCTATTCTTGTCATTATTTTCATTGATGTCGTTTACTAAACAGACATGCACATAGATAATCTAATAATAATTATTGAATATGCATTTCCATAATTAAGTTAGACTTTTTTCTTTATCTTTCCGATATTCTTCTTCTTCTTATTTTTTTTAAAGATGCATCCAACCACTTTTATGTTGTATTTCTATTCCGGTCGGATCTTATTTCTATGTAGTGGTATTCAGATACTCCAAATACCCCTCTTTTGTTTTTTTTCCTCTATTCCATCGATTCGATTGCTTGTATATTTCAATGACTGTAGTTGACAGTACGAAGAAAAACAAGACCATGAATTTCCTATGGCGTAAGGCAAGAAGAATATAGTTGCAGAGAAAAAAAAATTATTATCACTGATAGATTGATCGACCATATGTATATATAAATATATCGAAATAGACCGTTGAAACATCAACATTGTCTATGTCTATTGACGACAGCTATTATCCAGATAACTGAATAATGAAAAAAAATGTCCAGAGAGAGATAGAATATGGAGAAGCTTTCTTTCTTTCTTTCTTTTTTCCTAGAAATCTTATAACAGAGAATAAAAGAAAAATTAAATTCCAATGAAGAGGATAGAATACGAAAGCGAACGTCAAGAATATGCCATAGAGGCTTTCGCCAATCGAAATGAACTTCTCTGATTTCTTAGTTTTTTTCTTCTCCTTCTTCTTCTTCTTCTGCTTTTTCCCCCTCATCTCTTGAGGAACTCAACATACAAGGGAAAAAAAAGACTGATGATGATGATGTGTTCTTTTTCTGTATTTGATTCAATTCTCAGATTTTACAGAAAGAAGAGGAAAAAAAATCATATTCATTTTCTTTCTCTCCCTCTCTCTCTCTACGGCCCGAGTGGATGATCATCAAATCACTCCTTAGAAACTATATAGAATAGACGAGTTAGTATGTATACAGTTAATAATAATGATAGTTTTTTAAATACAAATATAATTAATGTGAGATAATCATATAATAAAAAATCCGATCTATATTCATAGTTTTCCTCGTTCAGGTTGTTCATATAAAAGAACCTGATTCTAATGGTAATGATCATCGATTAATGTTTTGTCCAACACATAAAAATGAAACATTAAAATATTTTTGTGCTACATGCAATATACCAAGTAAAAATAAAATTAATCCGAATTTCAATTTAATTTTCTTCAATATTTATCTAGTTTGTAATACATGTACAACAACTGATCATGGACGTAATGGTCATGAATTTGTTCTTTTGAATGATGCTGGTAAATAATTATTCAATAGATTTTTCTTCTTCTCTAACATTCCGATTTCAAAATAGGATCACATCAAGTAGCAAAATTACAACATATGGTTGAAAATACTCGTCAACGTTTAATTGATTTAAGACATTCACAAAAAACAGTTGATCGATCGTATACATCATTACAAGTAATAGAAATATACAAAAATATGTATATTATTTGCTTCTTTTTTTAGGCACAATATAATAAAGCTCAGCATGATATCAATGAAACATATAATTTCTATCGACAATTACTTGATGATAGAAAACATGATCTTATTAAGGTAAAATAATTTGTATTTATTTTTAATTCTATTCTATTTTTTCAAGGAATTGGATAATACATATAATGAAAAACAAAATGTTTTAACAAATCAAATGCAAAAAATTGATGATGCTATTGAACGAGCTAATTTAGTAAATAAAAAAAATATATTTCTTATTATTTAATAAATCGTTGTCTTTTTAGCCATTGGAATTTTCGGATCGTTTATTTAAAAATTCTTCAATAACAGAAATTTTAATGTTTAAAAAACAACTTGAAAATAAATTAAATACATTGAATCAAATTCTACCTGATGCAAATGGACAATCATCATTTGAGTTAGAATTTGTTTCAAATTTTCAAGTAAAATTCATAAGAAAAAAATAAATTCGAAATAAAAATTCTGTTTCTTCAGGCTATACAAACAGGTGTACGAAATACATTTGGTTATGTTCGAGCTGTACCAGAAACAACGTCATTGGTAAAAATCGATTTGATAAAAAATCAAAAAAAAATTTTTTTTATCTTAAATTTTTAGAATAATCATTATAAATCAAGACCACAGAAGGTAAAAGATATATACTGTAATTTTATATGTTAACAGTTGTGAAAATTATGTCCTTGAAATTTAAGTCTATCTAGATAAATGTAAAATTAAGGTTAAATTCTTATAAATGATTATTTAGTTATCAGTGAAGAAGAAAATTTTTCCTCTCTTCCTCGCGCAAAAAACTTAATAGCCTTAAGTTAGTTTCTTTCTTTGTGCTCTTACTAAATTATTCCGGTTGGAAGCATTTACAATGATAACAATACAGAAATAATCTGGAAGAAAATAAAAGTGTTGAGTATCTCCGTTTGTACGGAATTGATTACATTTTCTCGATAAGTATAAAGAGAAGAAATAGGCTGACAAGGAGAATTTACTAAGTGTTAAAAAGCTTTGAAGCTGAAAATTCTATCAATAATTTATGAGCAAAAAAAAAATTGAAGTTTAAAAATTTTATCAAAGAAATTTATCTGACAGGGTTGTAAATGTTGACATAGTTTTAGAATAAAAAATCCTACGAATTATTTACATAACATGCATAGTTTCTTATCTATTACGATTGTTTTAAAATTTTATCTTGTAAAAACCGTTTTTTTGTTAGATAACCAATGATAATTTCAATAAAGTTATTGGTCCACCATCACTCAATACTTGTCATAATCATAATCATAATCAATCACAAAATAATCTTTCAGCGCTTAGTCCAACAAAATCAATTCAACAACAACAACAAACAAATAATGCAAATCATTTATTAAATGGTATGGATATACTTTCATGTAGTTTACCTCAAACAACAATAAATAAATATACAAATTTATCATCATCAACACCAACACCAATTAGTTTTTCTTTATCAACAAATACGCTTGATATAAATCCATATGAATTATGGTCGAATGCTCCACAATTATCATCAACATCTCAACAGCAATTATCAAGTTCATTAACATCAAGTAGTGGAAATGCAAATCTTAATGGACAAGATTCTGTTGTTGATCTTGTTGATAGTTTATCATCATTTGATGGTTATTCATCACTTGCACAAAATTTATTATTACCAGGACGTTCAAATAATTCAACAATAAAACGACAAAAAATGATTTATCATCAAAAATTTGGTGAATTTGGTGTACTTGAAGGACAATTTACTGAACCATCAGGTGTTGCTGTTAATGGACAAGGTGATATTATTGTTGCTGATACAAATAATCATCGAATACAAATTTTTGATTCAAACGGTAAATTCTTTGTTTTTTTTTTCTCAAAAAAAAAAATTTTATTGATTAATTTAGGACGATTTCGTTTTCAATTTGGTGAATGCGGCAAACGTGATGGACAATTATTATATCCAAATCGTGTTGCTGTATTTCGTCAATCAGGTGATATTGTTGTTACTGAACGTAGTCCAACACATCAAATACAAATTTATAATCAATATGGACAATTTATACGAAAATTTGGTGCCAATGTTTTACAACATCCACGTGGTATGAAAAACAAAAAATTTCTAAAATTCTATCTATGTTTTTTTTGTTTTTTAGGTGTTTGTGTAGATAATATGGGACATATTATTGTTGTTGAATGTAAAGTTATGCGTGTATTTATATTTGATACAAACGGAAATGTTTTAAATAAATTTACATGTTCAAAATATTTAGAATTTCCAAATGGTGTTTGTTGTAATGATAAACAAGAAATATTTATATCAGACAATCGTGCACATTGTATTAAAGTATTTTCATATGATGGACAATTTTTACGAACAATTGGTTCTGAAGGTGTTACTAATTATCCAATTGGTGTTGTACAAAATAGTCAAGGTGATGTACTTATTGCTGACAATCATAATAATTTTAATTTAACAATTTTTAATCAAGGTAAGAAGAAATAATTCCTTTTTTATGTATTATTACGAAAATCTTTTTTATTAGATGGTCAATTAATAAGTGCTCTTGAATCAAAAGTGAAACATGCTCAATGTTTCGATGTCGCTCTTATGGATGATGGAAGTGTTGTTTTAGCAAGTAAAGATTATCGTATATATGTTTATCGATATTTAATGACATCAGCATCGATTGGATCCGGAGGAGGTGTTACAGGTAATAATACAACACCTTCATCACCAATATCATCTTCATCAACAACACCAGGTAGTAGCCAAATAATTGGTGGTGAATGTACATCACCACTTTTAATTAATGGTCATGGAGAAAGTCCATCAATGACAAGTAATGAGTATTAAAAAGAAAAAAGAAGTTTGCCTTCTCTATATAAAATAATACGTTCAATTAAAAAAAAGATTGTTTTTGTTCCTTTTCTCTTTTCTCTCTTTTCATTTTTTAATATTTATTCTCTCCCTTGATTTCTAGTCTGCACCTTCCATTTATTTGCTTGTTGTGTAGCTCTTTGATTTCACTCCTTGATTTGTTTTTATTAGACTATTTTTTATCAGAAACAAAAAGAAAGCTGAGAACAAAAAAAAAAACTACAGAATTAAACCGTTGTTTGTTGTTTGTTAATTTTTTTACTATTATTATTATTAATATATTGTTGTTTTGTTATTGTTGTCTATTGTTTCTTGCTCTTCCCTCTTTTTTTTCTTGTTTGTTATTTTTCTCTTGTGGCTAATAGGTTTTTGTTATATGACTGTTTTTTTTATATATCTGCTGCTATTTAACTCTTGCTGCGACAGTCAGATCTATGTCGCTCTATCTGAAAATCATGGAACTTTTTGTTTTCTATGTATATAGTTAAAAAACTTAACCTATCTTCTTCATTCATTTATATATATATATATCTGTATAGTATAATCTTTAAGCTTGTATATAGTACTTCCTCTAATATCCATTCCTATCCCAGTAAAGAGTTTATCTATATATTTTTGAATATCGCATCTATTTATATATTTTTTTTCTATGTTCATTCTCAGTATTCTTCGAATTAATCAGCATTTCGAACAAAAACTAGTGAGCCATATATATATATACGAACAAATTAGAAGTTTCACTCCTGTAGATTTCTTCCATATTATTATATCTTCTTCTTCTTCTTCTGCGTCTTTTCTTTCCATATTCTTAGACTATGATTAAGCAAACAAAAAAAAAGTCAAGTCAGAGTATCTATATATTGTTTTGTTTTCGTCTTTAGAGCAAAAAAGTAAATGTGTTTTTTCTTGTCTGTTATGTACTGTGATTGTGCTTTGTGACGTAGTTTATTTTCTTCTAAAATATGCACACTATTTAAAAAAAAACATACACATTTGTTCGCGCCATAACACTTGGTGGTTTTTTTTATACTTCTTTTATTGATGAATAAGAAGAGTTAGAAAAAAAAAGAAAACAAAACAAACAGTGTTCGTTTTTTTTGTATTATTATTTGCATACTCATCACTAATATTTCTCCTTGTTTGTTTTCTTTTCTGTTCTGTTTTTTTTTTTCGTTGTTATATATTGAGTTTTTATTGAATATATCCTAGTTATTGTTTAAATTATTAGACGACATTATTTCATACAGAAAACAAATCAAGGATTTTAATTAGGCCGATAATTAAAAGATAACAAGTTTTTTTCAATGAATTTGTTCATGGTAAATGTAATTCAATACAGCAATCCAAGACTAGATGATTTATAACGAGACTGTTAATGTTTGATGAATTGTTTGTTAACACAATGCCATTGGCATAAAAGAATATGTTATTACCTATACTAATGAATATGACAGTTAATTAGAGTATTTAATAAAACAAAAAAGAAGAATTTCTATATGAAGTCTTATCAGAATATTATGTAAGTATTGAGAATATTACCCACAAGCTTAATATTCATTGACAGTTGAATATCATCGAATATATTACATCTCGTTTGAAGGATGATATTAACTATGATAATAAAATCATCCTTATTCAATGTAAAAGTACAAGGAAACATTAATTATATGATTTGTTACGATTGATTATATTGAAAATTTTTTGCACGATTTATTTTTCTTGATAATTATATTAATATTAAGTAAGAATCGGATCATTAAGAAATGACAACTTAATGATATTTTAAAGACTTGTATATATATATATGAATCAAAAATGTTGTCTTGTATATGTACAAGTACACAGTCTATCATGCTGTATATACATAAGTATATATTACGAATAATTATGCTGATTACATGGATCTGCTAAGATCTTAGAATGTATTTTATAGACGTATATAAAAGGAAAGAATCCTGCTGTGAAATCGTCTGTATCATTATGCAAAAGTTTTCCTTCAGTTTCATCTCCATATGGTCAATAATAATCATGTGCAAGCAATACTTTTTCTTTCCTTTCTTATCTTTTTTCTTTTTTTTTTCTTCCTCGATTCCTTTGTACAAAAATACAAACTTAGCATACAATGTTATAAGCAAATAGTTCTTATCGTTACTTGATTATTGTCAAGTGAGTAAAGTTTATTATCAATCATTAGTTGCAAAATTAATATATCTAAAATATCATGATCTGTTTATAATATGATGTAAATGATTGTGTTATTCTTGTTTTCATTTGATTATATTTAACAATGTTACTAGATGATAACGTAAAACGAGCTCATTAACAACGTATGTTTCTATTCCGTAGATTCTATATATATATCATAAGTATAATCCTACAAAGAATCAATGACAAGACCAACATATGTAACTGTTAGAAGTAATCGAATAAAAAGTTATATATATATAAATACCAGTTTTAAGGGATTATATTTCTTTTGTTCGTAGCCATCAAGGTTATCATATAGAAAAAAAAATGGTATAGGAAATATATATAGTTCCTGCATATTTGATTTTTCTTTTTTTTTTTTCATAAGAAAATTTAATCCATCGATAGCTTAGTGATAATAATAGAATGAAATAAAATCGAAGGACATATAAAAGTAAAATGTTACGAGTTTTGTTTATATATTTATTTGTTAGATAAACGGCATATGTCGACTTTTTGTGTATGTATAAATATATATATATATAAAAGAATAGATTTCTTCGTTTCGTTGTTATTTTTACTTATGAAATCACATAAGAATCACTTGATGATGTTGACAGTCTTCCTTCTTCATTTTTTTTGTTTAATTCTCTAATGCCATTGTATTGTTCAAGAATTTTTCTTTGTACATTTTTGTTGCAGATCATGCAATACGTATCGATTAGGAAGTTAGTAATATGAATCCGGAAGAACAACGTACAAGTTGTCCTGGTTTTTTGGATGAACACGGTATATGGAATAATGGTTTTGAATGTCCACCATTATCTGGTCAAAGACGTATATGTTGTGGAACAGATGCACATCTTTATTGTTGTCCAATTGGAAATATTCATACAAATTCTTTTAATCGTCAGGAAAAATATTCTTTATCAATAAATGAAACAACATTTACTTTTATTGAAAAGCTGAATGCAATTTTTTTTACATTACCTATTTTAATAACATGCATTTTAATAATTATTGTTTTATTATTACTTATTCTAATAACTTTATTCGTCTGTTATCGTTATCGACAACGAAATCAAAATGAACAAGAAAGTCCTACATCAACAAAACAAACGTTACTTGTCGATCATTTTCCATTTTCACCTCCACATCATCAATTGTTTTTCAATGAAAATAATACCCAAACATGTATTTTACATAAACAAACAACTGAACCTTTAACTACAAGTACTTCATCAACAAAATCAACACGTATGCCATCAAATATATATTATAATGATTGGAAAGAATTTTTTAATACAACTGAATTACCAATGAATCTCTATCCAACAATGTCATCTCATAGTAATGAAAATCATAATGACGATCCATATCTTCGTCCAAATTATGCAGTTAATTGTACACCAAAACAACAAGATGATATAATTGTTTAAAAGAAAATTTTAACCGTTTTAAATTCATAACATATGAAGAAAAAAAAACTTAACCAAAGAATTATACATAATGATTATAGATGAATATTTTGAATTGTATGTAAGTTTTTCTGTCTTTTTTTCTAAAATTCATTGATCAAACGTTTCTTTTTTATGATTTTAATATATAATAGAGAGAGAAACAGAGAATGAATAAATTAACAAACTAATATAGATCAAATTTGTTTTTTTCAAAATTAATTCTGTCTAGAAATTGGAAATGATAATACTCTTGTCTTTATTTGATTATGATTGAATTTATCCTTGGCCTCTATAGATGTAATAAGACATTTCGAATATATTCTCACAATTGTTGATACTTAGCAGCAATTGATCATTGATTATAAAGATCAGTATTGATTGATTATTACTTTCTATCTCAATAATCGTCGAGAGAATTTCAAGAATTTTATTTTACAAAAAATAATAAGTATAACAAAAATGTTCTATGATGAGCAACAATATGTAATAATATCGTACTGATATGTATCATACATACATATGTAAATGTTTTGTTTATTATATCATCAAATAGTTCGACTAGGAAAAAGACAAAGAACGAGAATAAATAAATTATTTGCACATGTATGGTCAGCACAGTATGAGATATATTGTTCTAGGAAATGTTGACATGATCAATCACTAAGTGTGATTATATATTATCAATCATTCGATCTCATCAAAGTACATGTATACATATACTTCTTTGTTGTTTATATAATTAAAGATTGATTAGAACTTTTCATGTTAATTGATATTGAGAAGAGTGTGAACAAGATTTTTTTCCAATATTTTCTACAGATTATTTGACGTAAGAGATACTATTACTTATTATTTATTTGAATATACAAGAAAATAATGTGATATTGTCTTATATGAAATATATACAAATATATAATCGTCCAAGAATAATTACTGTTAATACTATTCTTTAATAGTTTTATATGTTTCTGTTATTTATTAAATAATGGGCGTATGTCAAGAAACTAAAGTTCAGATAAAATGTATAACACATGTTGTATCTTAAACCTATGGGTTATAGTAGAGAAAAAATGGTAGAATCCGAGATTTCTACCTGTAACATATTAGAAGATCATCATTGTTTTCTTGCTTAATTTATGTTTATACAAATTCAACTAATATAAAAATTTATTTTATTCAGCACCCATTTTGTTTATATTTAAATGTAGAAAAAAAAGAATGTTACACAATAATTAACTGAAGTTGGCATTTATTTTTGCTTCCAGTACAAAAAATGATAAAAAATTTTCAAGTTAACAGTCGAGAAAATTTGCTGCCATAAGTAATTCAAGTGCTTCTTCGGGTGCGATTTGAAAGTCTGGTATTTCAATTGTTGAATTTGAATATCGTGATTTATAAGCAAAATATGAGCATATACGTCCAAGAACCTAAATTATCAACTTAATATTAAATTATATATATATATAAATATGTTTATATTACCTGTGAACTAATACTTCGAAAATGTATAACATTTGTTTCATTCTCAGCATATTGTCCTAACAACAAAAAAAATTATTCTATAGTAAAATTAAATTATTTACGAACCAGGTCCACTTAACATTGCTTTTATTGTTTGAGAGGTAAGAGCAAGATCACGTTTAACATAAAACTCATGATCATCTGATGAAACCAATTTAACATACATATCATTTGGAATCTCAGTCTGAGGCGCTTTATCTGCTTCATCATCCACAGTCATCATTTTCATTATGGTCATCATCTTTATATCTGATTTATTGGATTTTCAAATAAAAAATGTAAATTTTATTTCTTATATTTTCAACTTGTTAATCGCAATAATGAAATACCAAAATCGATGACATTCCTTCGTGTGTTGCTATATACACAGAACAGTTTATAGGTTGTTAAAAACCACCAATCAAAGTTTAACAAAATGTGAACACATATCGATATCTAGAGCCATCTTTGATTAGAAGGGAAAAAAAATGTTATCATCTTACGTGAACAAAATCTAATAATTGAAATTACTCTGCATTTAGGAATGAATATCCCTATCTGAAATCAAATGTATCAGTTACACTTCCAGGGAAGAAAATGCAGGCATCGAACATCCAGGACTTCGAGATGCTGAGTGCCAGCACTTACCCCTTGATCAAAATAAATATTCTTACTTCAATTGATTTATTCAAATTTAAAATATTTATCAAGGCATGGAAATTTATTATTGATACTTCAACATATTGAAATAATTGAGATAAAAGCATAGTAATTGAATTTTATGTTTAAGAAATAAAATTTCTTTTTTTTTTGTCTATGAATAAAATAAGACATGTAACATATTTATCGATTAGTGTCAGAATAATTGATTTTTTTAATTTTTATTTAACATTATAGAAAAGAAAAAAAAACGGCTGTATACAAAAGAAGAGAAAACCAAGTTCGAACTTTCTTATCGATAGTAAAGATGAGAATAGAAAATGAGAAACAAAAACTTGAAATTATTACGAAAAAGAAGAAGAAGAAAAAAAAGAGAATAAATGAATCATTATTTCGTTCAATGATTTAGACAGATCGATTTGTTTTTATTTTGCTTGTTTACATTTAACAGAGATTCACAACATATATGTGACAGCACATATGACTAGACTGTCTGTTTTTCTTTTCCTTCTCATGAAATTTTTTTCGTTGAATAATTAACTACTGTCACTTTCTTCAGCAGTTGCAAATGGTACATTCGAATTTGAGTCAGTTTCTTCAAAAAATAATGTTAACCATTTCTTTTCTAAATATTCTTCTAATTTTCTACATGATGTTAATAAATTTGGAGATTTTTGAAACCAATCATGATAAATAACACCAGCTGAATGCATACGATGACCTGCATCCGGTACTAATAAACGAAAACTTAATAGATCTTTAACTTCTTCTGTTACACGATTAAATAATTCGTCTTGAAATAATTTTGGAATATTATCAAGTTGTGGTAATATATCTTGATCTTCATGAAATGGAAAATAGCCAGTTAAACTGACAAATATAATTACACCAATAGCCCACATACTAATAAAATACAAAAAAGATTTTTTCATGAATCAATAATATGAAAAAACATACTCGACAGTTTTGTTGTAACCTTTTGAATGACGCCATTGATCATGAGAAACTTCAGGTGGTAAATATGCTGTAGTACCAACTTTTGTATAACGTAATGAATGTTCATGAATTGTACGAGCATAACCAAAATCACCTATGAAAATAAATATTCATGATATCGCGTAGACTTATCATCCGTTGGGACCAACTACTATACAGATTAGTTTCTTTCATATCTGTCGGTCTTACACTAGTCTTCGATGTCATCCATTCTATTATAGTTTCTACCTTCGATATCGCCGCTCTAATTGATTCTTAGTATCTTTCTTTTGTTGTTCTCCTTCAGAGTCCATATGTCTGAGATACATATTATTAGAATCTTGAGTCTAATTTGTATTATTAGTTTGTTACTCTTCCATACGTGTTCCAAGGACATCATCTTTGTTATTACAGATTTCATTAATAGAACTATGATCAATTGATCAAGAATTACTTATTTATAGATTTATATATCATAGTTATTCTAAATTAATACAATACATACCAACTTTTAAGTGTACAACATCTGCAGAAAATATATTGATTAAAACATTATCAGGTTTTAAATCACAATGTCTATTCAATAAAGAAAAAAAAATAATTATTATAGATATTTGTTGGAATAAATAAAATCCCTTACGCTATATTTTTAAAATGTAAATAACGAATAGCAGCAACAAGTTGAAAAGCAAGAAATCTTGTAACATCTTCATTAAGACGAGCTTTTGGATTTGTATTTGAAAGAATAAAATTTAACATATCAGTATCTAATCGTTCAGTAACAAGAAGTATATGTTGTTCAAAATCAAATATGCCTTCAAATTTTAGGATACCTTTAAAAGAAACAAAAAAAAATTAATTTGTTAACAATAAAAGAAGAGATAAACAAACAAACCAGGATGATTAAGTTGAAATAGATAAGCAGCTTCTTGTTCAATATTTTCTCGATCTTTTTGTGAACATTGTGTCATTTGAATTTTTTTTATTGCAATACGTACACCATTTCGACGCATTGTACCGCCAAAAACCATACCAAAACGACCCATACCAAGAATTTCTTTTTCATTCATATCATATAAATCAGCAAAATCTTTTGTTTCACCATCATTACCACGAACAATTTTAAATGATGAACGTACTTTACGATCAGTTGTCGATTGAACAGCTTCATTTATTGTATCGAGAAGTAAACAAGCTAATTTTTGATAAACTATTGCTTGTGGTGGTGGTGATCCAGATATATTATCAAGATAGGCTGAACCATTTGTGGATGTATTAGATGCTGAATGTGCACGACTAGCTAAAAAAAATATATTCCATAAGCATTTTTTGTGTTAGATTATAAAAATATTTACCTTCAATATCTGTTGCTGGTATTTCATAAACATGTTTATTTCCTTGATCATCTCGTTGTGTAAATCGAAATTTTTTCTTATCATACGATATTTCTGCACGTTTACTATGTCGACTTTCTCGACCGAATTGTCCTGTTGCTGTCCAGGTACCATCTTTTTCTTGACAATTTGTTAATTTAATATCTTTACGTCGATCTGGTTTAATATTAATTTGTGGTGGTGGTGTTCGATGATTATTTTGTTCATGTGTATTACGTGGATTTTTACGTTGAGTTCCTACTGTTGCTGAATGAGGTGTTGGTGTTCCATTCATACTATTTGATGAATCGGTATTATGTTTATTTGAATTTGTTAGACCACTTTTTGATGATGTTGAAATTATTGATGATGCACTTTGTCTTGGTGTTATACTTACTGATTTTGAATTTAATGAATGTTTTGAAGAAGTAAATAATTTAGCAATTTTCGTTCGTTTTGGTGGTGTATGAGATGCATTTGATAGATCTCGATCTTTATATATTTGACCTGGTGATGTTGAACTAATCGTTGTATTTGATGATGCACGACGTACAACGGAATTTTGACCGGGACAATCAGCTGGTAAATGTTCAGCACATTGATGATGATAATCACGTCGACATACTTTACATCGTTTTCCCTAGGATTAAAATACAAAAAATAATATTTCTTATTAATATAAATAAGAAAATACAAACTTGTTTAATTAAACCCCACATAAAATAATCACAAGATGAACAATATGTCGGTTTTTTATAATTATGTTCAACAAGTACATGTTCACGAGCTGGAGTATTAGTTTCTTGATCTGATCTCCATATAACAATTTCAATAAAACATGTTGGTGTTAAATCACTTGCACGTGCTATTAGTTTTAAACTTGGTGGTTGATGATCAGGTGATATAAGAAATAATTTAATATGATGACGATGATTATTTACTTCAAGACTACCAATTGCTTTTGATACAATATCAACTGCATGTTGATGAAGTTCACTGAGAACATCTGGCTTTGATTTATCAATTTGAATTGATTGATAGGTTATACCAAATTTTAAACAGATAAATATTAATTCTTGAGATAATTGTCGTACAGCCATTGTATGATTTTGGTATTTTCAAATATTTCTTAATTTATCATATCTAAAAAAAGAAGAAAAATTTATTTTTTCAAAAAAATAACTGTCATTTGAGTAGTTTTAATAAGCATTATCATTCTCAAAAATCTGTCCAAGATATTAGTAATACAATGCTTTTTCTTTTCTTTCAGAATAAAAAAAAAAGAAAATAATGCGTCAGAGGGTATTTTATGAGATATAAAAGCTTCTAATGTTTCTCGATAATTATAATGACTAATAGTTATATGTATATTTTTTTTCAAAAATAAAATACGATATTTAAATGAATTAACGAATACTATCACTCTAATCTATATCTGTGCATATGGTATGGGGAAAAATTTACATAGGAAATATATCTGATTGTAGACATAAGTCAATATTTCGTCTATTCTGTTTTATTTTGCATTATGGCAAGAAAAAAGAAAAATAATATTTCTTTTTTAGTTCTTTTTCTACCTTTCTTATACTGACAAATACTAAAATGACGAATGAATAGTCATGACATTTTCATTTTATTTCCTATTGTCATACCTTGATAAAAAAAGAGGGCGGGTTCATCACGATTATTTTATTTTAATTCGTAAGAACTATATTAAATAAACTTTATTTAACAAAGATTAATTCTATGTTCCTTTATAATCTACATAAAACTTTAACAATCTATAAATATAAAATGAATCTTCTCTATGTGCTTATTCGTTTCTTTTTTCTATTCCTAGAAAGAATGCATAATAAAAACCAGAGAACAGATCCAGTTACTATTATGCTAAAAGAATACATTTGGGTATCTTCACTCAATGAACTCTAATATTTAACAGGTCTTAATTATTAAGTGGATTAGATCTGTCTTATAGAAAAAAATATAGACCCCTCAAGTAAATAAACAGATCTGACATTTTTTTTCTACTTGCAGTTTACAGATGATTTTTCGAAAAAACAAGAAAATATATATGTATATCAATATATCCTGCGTATTATTATATGTAAATAACAGATTTTTCTTGCGTTCGTTCTCTTACTCAAAGTGAAATGCATGCATGTTTATATCGTAAACATACCTTTCATATTATTTTCGTTTGTTCGTACATTAAAAATTTTTACTAACTACAATAAATCATAATATTACATACTAATGATAATACTAGTTTTTTTTTGTTAAAAAGAAAAGAATCTATAAAATAATTCTTCGCCGTATAATGATGTTATTGTAGAAAAAAACTTAAGATTTGACTGATGGTTATTTCCCTTACCGTTTTTAATGTCTTATCGTTTATTTGCGTGTTTTTTTTTCTATTCGATTTCGTGATACGAAAAAAGAAAAAAAAGACGACGGTAGCTATTAATATAAAACGTGATTGGCAAAAAGATTTTTTATTTAGATTTTATTCTTAATGCATCGTCATCGTTGTTATGTTACGCTTCTTTCGCTCTCTGTTCTTTATTTTCTTTTGACTACATACACGCACATTCACTATTATACACCGTGTGTTGATGAAAAAAAAACGGAAGACAGAGAGAGAGAGAGAGAAAAAGAAACAGAAGAAGAAGAAGAAGAAGAGGAGAAAAAAAAGCAAAAAACCTACCTACCGACAAATAACCATGTTAATCGTCGAACGTACGTCTCTACACATTATCAGTTAAAAGATAGGCGATCCCTTATTATGATCTCTTATTTTTCTTCTTGTGTATTAAAATATATATCTTTGTAATCAACATATACACGTCTATGACATTTTCTACTTTTATTTAACACGTACTCATATTATTATTGTTAGCTTTTATTTTAATATTGATCTTATCTCATACTAGACATGTAAATATGCATAGCACGATTAACAATTAGTGATATCTCACCTCTTATGACTTTTAACTATGTATGCAAATGAATTAATATCTAAAAGCCTATTTTGATTAAAAAGAAAAATGTAATATATATATGTACCATAGGGGAAAAAGAGGAAGTCCGTTTATTGATTGACGTTTAAAACTGATAACAATACGATACAAAGTATTTTTTATTATTATAAAAATCATGTTTTTTCAACCTCAAAATATATTTCTATATAAATAATCTATTTTAATTTAATATTTGACGTCAAAAGAAAGCAGGTTTTCAATATATATAGATTATAGCTATGAATTATTTTTCTTACAAAATAATTCTAACTAACTTTGTTAATGTTATATATATATAGCTTAAAGCGCTTTAAAATATTAGTTTTGCTTATCATCCGGATTATGTAAAACATTATGTGTGTGTGCAACTAACATTGAAAAAAAACTGTAAGTATGAACACATGCAGAAAACAAATGAAAAAAATAGAATCTTATTCTAATGAAAGACAAAACTTTTACTATTCTTTTTCGTCTGTCTATACAAGAATTTAAGCTTCAATGAATTAATAGTCTTATCAATTATATTTTTAATAATAAATTAAAAAACTAAATATTCATAGAATTTTTTTTTGCTAAATTAAATCAATCAATAAATGATAGAAAAATGTCGACTTAAAAATATGAATGAATATCATTAAATTCTATTCGATGACAATATGTCAAGATAAAATGCACTATTACATTTATTTCTAATTTAACAAAAAATATATGAACGCTATTTCTTGTCGAAGGTTAATATCTGAATAATTATATGCATGCCATATCTCCTAAACAACTAGATTATATATATTTTCTTCGTGATTGATAAAAAAAAATGCTAGTGAATTCATATAACAAAATAAAAAGAAGCTAGGGGGTACTCATTGAATGACGAAGAAGATTTGTCAATAAGAATAGAAAATTATATATGATTATATTTAGAATGAAAGAAGAATCTTCGTTCTTCTTACTAAGTGCAAAATAATGTTCTTGAGTTAAATTTAGTATTAATTTATCAAAATATATAGCAATCAAATTCGTTCAATGCTTTCATTTATAAGAATTATTCTATTGATTTAAATATTTCAGATTACAATTCATGTGTAAACTTATTTATGTTTTGTAAAATTCCAATGCTCTATTTTCTGTATATAATCGTTGATTTAGAAATGACTGGCGTAGTACAATAATGTCAAACTTATCGAAATATTCTAAATTAAAAAGTTAACTTGTTTTATGTGTATATCGGATATATTGTGTCTAATTGTTTAGACTTAACCTAGGAAATTATCGTCACTTATATTCAATATCATTCGATTTAATCAGGATGAGATGCCAAAAAAAAATAAATTTTGATAATAAAATTCTCAATTCAATATCAAGATTCGAAGTTATACTATCTGAGAACATTGTAAGAGTTTGAAGAAAAAGAAACCGTTGTGTGTGTTTATAAACTACTAGCATATTATAATTAATATTCTCATTTAAGCATGATGATTAGTTTAATAAAACAAAAAATAGTAGTTTTATCGTATTTGATGTTTTTCTTTAATAATAAAAGAATTTTGCCTAAAGCTTTTCTTGTCAAAGTCATTGATTATCGTATTCAAATAGAGTCTTGTTTCTCTTCTCTAATTCTGATTCAAGCTAATCTCTATTAAAACAATAGAACAATATTTTATCAAGAACGAATAGTCATGCAATGAATAAAACAGAAGCACGCATATACTATTTATATTCATTTAACACTTGATGTTAAATCGAAAATTTTTTCAAAAACAATATGGACGGAAATGACAATGTATTTTAATCTGTAATCTATCTTTATCATTACGATACATGTGTTTTGAATCAAAATTCCTCACAATATAGAAGATAATTTCATCTCATGTAGCTAATGGCATCATGACCTTATTATTCACAATTATTTAACTGTAGATTTCATGATGAGTATGCTTGAAAGACATGTCATTTAGAATCTTGTTAAAATCTATTGTTTTTTATTAAAAATTTCCTATATTCATTTTCTCTTAGATCATTGCAGAAGAGATTTTGATAGTTTTTTTTATTATATTGAAAAACAAATATTTTATTTATTTAATATTATAGAAAAATAAAGTTTAATTCGATCGGTTGATGGAAATAGTAAATTTTTAATTAATAATAAAGGTGTCGAATCACTTAAACATGAATCATAGAAAAACAAATAAACTTGATATGGTTTGGATATTTGACAAATTGTTTCCAAATATTTTCTTATATGATCTATATGAAGTTGAGAGTTTACACAAAGATATTTTCGTGGATATTGTTTTAGAATTAATGATGGATCAATAAATTTTTTACATAATTCTATTTGTAGTGCAATTGGAATAATTGATTTTTTTGTAAGAGAAGATACAGTCGATTTATCATTGAATGAACGTAAACGTATTTGACCTTGTTGATCAGTATAACGCATTGGAGAAAGAGTTTTTACAAGTCGAAGTTTAAGACGAAGATCTTTTGGTATTGATAAAGAATTTTGTTCATAAAAAAGTTTTTCATTATTTATTTCATCAATATCAAGTGACGGTAATAATGAACGTACAATATCACCTAATTGTCGATCTGGTATTAAACATTTTGATATATCAGAAACAGGTTCAAGATTTACATCACATTTTGGACATTTATATTCTGAACGTGATAAATTTTTGAAATAACTTAGTATACATGTACGACAAAATGTATGCATACATTCTTTTATTGTATATGGATCAATAAGATAACCATCACATAGAGAACATTGTAAAAGTGGATTGATTTCATTCAAAGAAAAATATAAAGATTCCATAATGAAGATGACAAAAAAAAGAAGATTATGAATTAATGTAAAATGTATATTAGATTATTTTCCTTTTTTTTGACAAAAGAGAATTGGAGGCAAAATATGGATGCCCAATAGATATTGTCAAACAATAAAGTGCGCTAGTTTAATTATTATTATTGTCGCTAATGTTCATATGTTTATATATTTTTCGAATATTGATTTACATTCAAACTTAATTATCATTATATGTAGTTTTCAAAAATTACTTTTTACCTAATGCATTTATTAGTTCATAAAAGAAAGGTTGTCTCTTCAAGTGATTTTGATGTCATAAAATAGTATTATAGAAATTGTCATATCGAAGAAGTCTATTTTCATTTGAACTTCATAACAAAATGGATTACATGCGCAGAATATTTATTCCCTTCACTATTATCACATGTGTAAAACATTAACCAGTACTTGTCAGAAATACATATAAAGTTCAAGTCGTGTTTGACAAGCTTCAAATACTTATTAACTCTTGGATTCATCCATAGTGATATTTTATAAAAATATAGTGTTATGTTCAATTTAATGTCAATTGTACTGATATAATGATGTCAGTCCTCATTTCCATAATACAATATTCATATATGGCTAACGGCAGCAATTAAATCCGAACTTCTCCAATTGATTATCTATCAAGATAATCAAATCCGTGGTAATTAAATTGTGTTTTAAGGTTTCCTCAAGACCTTTGAATACTAGAAGTAATAATAATCAGCAAATATCTATTTTAAAATGTATATATGATTTAATTTGATATTTTGTAATCGTTTATATATTAATAAAGCAAATTAATAAATATTCTCTTTTGCAAAAAAGTCAAATATTAACTCACGTATTTTTTTTATAGTAAATAGTCAAACATTATGCGTATGAAAGTAACAAGAGATTATTATTTTTAATAGAAACTGTTATTGAACATTTACAATGTTCGTGCTAAGTTCTCTAAAATAACAGAAAGATAATGATGACATAAACAAACGGTAATTTTATACTATCTGATGTATGCAAAGAGAAGACATACTCTTAATGCGTTTTTTAATTAGTATAATATTAAAAGGGAAACAGATTTTATATAGAAACATTTTACAGATATCATTGTTTCAAAGAAAATCACTGTATTAATTAACATAAAAGCTGCTTTTTAAATATCTTATCTTATAACGAATATTTTTCATACCAGGCACCGAAAAAAAAAGTATTTTCATTCTGATATTGGTATTTATTCAAGAAAAAAAAGCTTTCATAATTTTCCTGGCATCAGACATTGCTTACAGAATTCTTAAAAGTGTACCTGTAATATAAAAATCAATATTATTTTATATAATAATTAGTTATGACAGTGTGCCGCTACGAATAATGCTCCCCATAGATTGTAGCGCTTATTGATATGGTTTACTTGTATATATTTAGTCTATGAAATTTATATTTTATTCATAAATATCGTTACTACTTTAAATTGAGATTTTGTTAAACAAAAAAATAATGGCACCATATACATTTTCATTATTTGCTCCATATAATAAAAATTGTGCATTACGTTTAAAAAATGCTAATACACGAATGTTTAATATTGATATTTTAATGGATAAAAATGAAGAAACAGGTTATTTTTATAAAACAATTGATTTAGCTGATGGAAAATATCATTATCAATTTAAAATTTTAACGAAAAGTTGGTTTGAAAATTCACCTGCAGCTGCTCAAGCAACACTAGGTAATGAAAATGAAGACGTATCAGATTCAAATTCAACTCCACAAAGTAAAACTTCTTCATTGTCATTTTTTCTTTGTTTAATAGAAATTTTTAGAAAAACATAAAAAAGAAATCGAAACATCGGCTACTTATACCGATATTATCTATGTATTTGTTGATCCTTATGCTACTGAAGTTGATGAACAAGGTACTGATGATGCACATAAATCAGTAGGTGTTCTCAATATAAACAATGGACAAAAAATTATTGGTATAAATTATTTTAATCGAAGAAAAAGAAATAGATTTTATTTTGCATTCTTCTTAGATAATTATGAATGGAAATATCAAAATCATACAGAATTACCAGCAAATGATGAATTAATTATTTATGAAATACATGTCAGTGATTTTCTTGGAACATTTAAAGATATTATCAAAAAAATTGATTATTTTAAAAAACTTGGAATTAATGCTAGTAAAATATGATTCATTTAAAAATTTACAGAAAACAGAATTTCTATCTTTAGTTCAACTTATGCCTGTTAATCAATTTGGTGGAACACATAGTTGGGGTTATAATACACGTTATAATTTTGCAGTACAAATCTTATTTTTAACTAATGTATTAAGATAAGATTTACTTTCTATTAGATTGAACATTTATATGGAACAACATATCAATTTAAAGAAATGATTGATACATTACATGGACAAGGTATTCGAGTGTTTATTGATGGTGTCTATAATCATGTATGTTATTAATCCAATAGAACTTTTCCTATATGAACTGATTCATATTCTGATTAGAAAGAAATCTATATTCATCGTCCTATTGAAGTTCATATGAAATATTTTTAGACTGAATGTTCATCTCCATTGACACAAATCGATCATGATTAGTAAATTACGAATTAGATTAATTTGTTAGTCATATATTATTTTTAGTTGGTTTCATCATGAACCAAAAGAGAAACAATGGTCATGGGGTCCAGTAAGAATTCATATATTTTCCTCATAATTATTTTCTTTCTACTCAATTTAGGAATGGAATTATGATCTATACGATGTAAAATCTATTTTTATTATTATTTAATAATTTATTTTATTTTCAAAAAGGAAAAATTTAATGTTTGGCCTGCAAGAAAATTTGTTAGTGAAGCAATTCGATATAATACAAAAGAATTTCATATTGATGGTTTACGTTTTGATTCGGCAAGACAAATTCGACATTTTGAATTTTTAAAACATGTTGTTAAAGAATGTGAAGAAATTTGTTTAAGACCATTTTATTCTATGGCAGAATATTTACCAGATAATCCTGGTAAAAAAACGAAGTTCTTTTATTTAATTCTTTTTTTTTTTTGAAGATATAACTATTGAACAAGGTGGTCCATGTGATGCAGTATGGCATGATTCATTTTATTGGGTACTTAAAAATGCGCTTTTAACTGATAATATTAATATTGAATTACAAAATTTAAAATCAGTTATTGATTGTAGAAAACAAGGATATAAAACAGGAAAAAATGTTATTAATTATATATCGAATCATGATCATAATCGTCTTTTTGTTGAATTAAAAAAGGAAAAAAAATTATCAAATGAAAAAGCATTTCATCTTCTTCGTTTAGCTATTACGGTTTTAATAACATCAATGGGAAATATATTAAGTAGGGATATTTATTTGAAATATTTAAAAGAAAAAGAATTTTTTTCTTTATGTATTATAGTTTGGATGGGTGAAGAATTTGGTGAAGAAAAAGAAAAAATTATTGGTGAAGCAAAATTACAATGGGAGTTAATTGAAACTGAAAAATATGAATTTAATCAACAAATGTTTAATTACTGGTAAAATTTTTAAGAAAAATATTGAGCTAATAATTAACTAAAGTTAAATGATAAGAAAGCCATGCTTTATATATTAAGCTAACTGAGAAGGAAGATGATCATAGTTTCTATGAAGATAGTATCTAATGATGTTGATCAGAACATCATCCACTTCGATTGTTTTTATTCTATTCTATTTTCTGTAGACGAATATATGCATATATTTTTCTTTTGCATTTGGTAAGTGCATAGTCAACAGCTTTAATAAGAATTCACATGTAGCTATAATAAACCAACTTCACTTTTCTTCTACCATTGATACACAAATATAAATATTTCATCAATTTATTTATTTTCTTTTTTTTTGTTTAGGTGTAATATGTTTCGTTTACGTCATGAACATAAATTATGTTTAAAATCTGACAATTTAGATTTCTTCTTTGAAGATCGAATAGTACAAGTATTTGCTTATCATCGTTATGACAATGCAAAAACTGATCATATAATAGTAATTATAAATTGGGCAAGACAAAACTTAAAATCTTATCAAATAAAAGATATTCCTATGAAAGGTCAATGGAATGAATGGTCTACAACTAATCTATTTAACGTTAATGATGACAATATATTAACAATTGATCTCGAAAGTCAACAAGGAAAAATATTTATTTTAAATAAACAATAAAAACAAAGAAGTCTTTCAAAACACAAAAAAATTTATTCTAATCAATATTCTGTTTCATAATAAACAATTAACAAATGTATTTATATATATTGTTTTTTTTCATGTTTGATTAATAATAATAACTGAAGTAAAAACAATGAATCATTTTTTTATAATTTTATTATAGATTTTGTACGATAAAGAATATTTTTTGATAAAATATCAAATATAAAACCAATAATTTGTATTGAAATAAGTATAGTTAAAAAAATGATTAAACGTAATACTGTATCATTATAATCAAATGAAATTATTTCAAGATAAAGACGATAAATAAATATTGAAATATTTTCTATTGATATTAATGCATGTATTGATATATTATCAATTGAATTTTGTGTTAATAAAGAAAATATTATTTGGAGAAATATTGTATTTCGTTTATGTTGATATTTAAATTGATCAAATAAAAGTATAATTAGAAGTATTATATGAATAAGAAGAAAACTTATTGGTAACCACCAAATATTAAAACGAAAAAGAAAGATAAATGTATAAATACGTGTTAGAATTAAACATAAATGTGAGAGAATTGATGGTATAATAAACAATGAAAATCGTTTAAATATTAGAAATGTTGATATAAATGAATAGTTTATTATTAAATAATATGAAATACTAATTAAAACAAATAATGATGAAGAAGGAAGACGAATTGATAGTGGAATATATGAAGAAAATAAGTATTGTGTCCAATTGGTAAACATTGTTCGACGAGCAGAATGTTCAGGATTCATTTCCAAATACCTTAATAAAACAAAAACTAATTATAAAATCTCAAATATTCTGTATTGATTTATAAATTAGATAGAAGAACACATGTCTATGAATGTTTCTTATTGAATAACAGTAATTTCATCTTCGTTCGAAATAGAATTAGTCAATCAGTGCTAGTTCTGTGTTCGATATATCATAACTGATGGTAGATAATCTATACTAAAGGTAGTTTCGATAATGTCTATAAGTTACTACTAACGTTTTGAATATATTTATTTAAATGATCGACAATCCATCATCTTGGCATCGATTTCATCTCTAACATGCATGTTTTTATTCTGTATACCATAGAATAAATCATAAATACAGAAGAATAACAATAACATAAATCGATATAACCTATGTTATGATAGCAATTGTAGATTAGTTTCATTTGTATTTATAAAGAACCGAGATATTACGGAAGATATTCACTAGCAATACTAATAGACATGTGTCGAGATATCTGGTAAACTAGTCAATACAAAATTTTCATTTGATATTATGGCATGACAATTTATTCATATAGTTCATAATAAACGAGATAGATTTAAAATATTTAATTTTGTTATTAAACATGCGTACATGTCTATGTTTAATTATATGTAAATATATTACAGATTTCATTAAATCAATTCTATTTATGTACTTACATTGTTGAAGCATAAGTTGTAATTGTATCTGTAGTTGTTGATAATAAATCATCATTTAATGTCCATTGAGGAATAAAATAATCCATATTTAATACAGATTTCGTTGATGGTTCAAAATTATTTGACCAAAAATAAAAATTAATAAAAGTAAAAAATCCTGTATGAACAAGATAAAATAATGTTAAATAATAAAATAATCTTTGTTTTCTTATTGTATATGTCGATAATTGACGATTATTAATAGGTGAATTTGTTGTTTGTGATATCGTTGTTTCAACTGTTATTGTTGTTGCTGTTGATGATGATGTTGACGAAGATGAATCAAATATTTCTATATTATCATTGTTATCAAATGCCATTGTTAATAATTCAACAAGTTCATATAATAAATAAAGACGAATAATAAATGGTATTAATAATAAATATGATGGAAGTGTTTTTAATTGAATTAAATTATTCATCCATAAAATCATATCACATAAAATAATTGTACTTATAAAACTAATTAAATAGAGATAATTCGTATGATAATAAATATAAATAAGAACAATATCAATTGTATTTGTAATAAGATATGAGAAAATAAGTATAAGAATAAGAAAAAATGATCGATTTAAATATCTAGATGATTTTTTGATTGAATTGTCTTCATGTTTAATATGAGAAAATGATGTTGAATATGATAAACTTTTAGCTAAATCAATCGATGACTTAAATTTTTCTGATTGTGTTCGAACAATTTGATTTAATGATAATGATGATTGTATGATATTTTCATTTGCAAATGGTATTGCATCTGATATTGTTTCATTATTAAATGATAGATTATTTAATGTATGTATACTTTCAATTGATTGTGTACCAAATGTTGTCCAACTATGACGAGTATCAGATATTGTCGATGGAAATATATAAAAATTTGTACCATGAGATGAAAGTTGTTGATAAGGATTCTCAAGATCATGTTGAGTAGAAATTGTTGGATTACTACATTCAGTTATGGGTTGTGGAAGAGAATCAAATTCAAGATTTGCTAAACTTGTATGTTGACAAATAAGTAAATGACATTTTGGACATGCACTTAAACTGAATGAATAATGAAGAACATTCATGAGATGAAGAAAATCTATTTTAGTTTTTTTTCTAGAATAAAATTCATAATTATAAATATTCTCTTTTCTTACTTTTAGATATTTATATATCGATTATTAATTAAAGTTTTTAGTAGAAAGATAGTCGTAAGTGATATGTCAATAATTGAAAAGCTTGAATGTACATGCATGAATTGACTGTATGAAAGATTTATATTTATTAGTATGTATACGATACAATTCTCAATTTAATGATGAAAGAGAAAAAGAGAGGGAGAGCGAGTGAGAGAGAAAAGAAGGAAAGAGAAACAATAGAATGTTCAATACTTCATTCTATATACTTTTGCTCCTTTATCAATTTCGAATTAAAGTACACTTTACAGTTCATACGTTCAAAGATGAACATATAGAAAATGCTCACTTACTACTACTTCTGTTGTTCTTCATTCAATTTCCTTTTTTTTCACATCCTACTTTTATTCTGTTATATTGATGTTTGATGATGTGTTTCATATGATGAATGTAGGTGTTGGTGATCGAATCGGTTAATTAAACATAAACAAATAAACGGGGGAGATGAATTTAGTTTTGATTGTACAATATCAAATAATCATCAATGTCGTTTACTATTTTTAGAAAACTATTTCTTTTTTCTTAGAACTTAATACGTTAGAATTAAAGATAAAAAGAAAAGTATCCTTGAATGAACAACGTAAGCGTCTATATTTACTCATTGAACACGTAATACAAGATGGTTTTATTCTATTCAATTCCATTTCATTCATATCATTTGATAAGAAGATTCAGAAACAAGACAATAATACATATTAAGATGCTATTCAATCATGCACGTAATTACAAAAGAGAAATAATAGGTGAAATATTAGTAATTGAACAACGTATTACTTATACCTAGAAATAATTTGTTATTGCCGACAACCTTTAAAATACAAATATATGAATGAATACGAGAAGTAAAAATAGCATTTTCTCTTTTGTTACAGACATACAGACAATGCTGGTTTTCGTCATATCATCATGATCATCTCAACAAACAGCCAATGGCTATATAATCATTTTGACCGGAACACCATCCGGTTGACTGGCTAATTATCATAATGATTTTCTAATTTGCACTCTTATTATATTTATTCACAGTCTGTTGTGTTTCATTTTCTTGTTGTGCTGTCTAATCTTATATGCAGCATACATTTGTTTTATTCTACTGTATAAATTCAAACGTTCATTTGTTAGATAAGTGTTTGCATAAGAACTTTTCTTTTTTTTCTTCATATATTACATCGAATATCATAAGTAATAAGTGTTTGTGAACATTGAAGTAGTTCGTCATATAAACTATCATTATTTATTTTTCAATAAAACGATAAGAATAATTGACGTTTCAATAAGAATATATATATTGATAGATAATTTAAATATAATAATGAGGTGAAAAGTATTGAATTTGTATTTCAATGTTAGAACATGAAAGAAAATAGAAAGTATTATAAGATTTTTATTCGATAAAATATTGTTATACTCCGTATAATTAATGAAACAATAATAAGATTGAAAATAATCCATTGTATTTACATATACTTATTTCATGTCGTATTAGAATATTTAATTTTCAAATTATCGTTTAGATGATGACGTCAAATTCTTTTTTTTTTTATTATCAAGGTCATAGAGTTATAGAGTAAACATTACTCTTCTAATCTATATACAATAGACTTACATTTAAGTAAAAACTTTAGCAAGTTTTAACTTAATTCTCGAGAGTATATTTCATTAATTTCTATAGTAACTAAAGAACATGTTACATAAAAAACCATTTCTTTTTTCCTATTGTCAATGAAGACAAGTAAAGAAATGTTTGCTCGACAATTCTCTGTAGCCTTTTAAAAGACATTTAATCGACAATGTAAGATTCATTTAACAAATTGTTCAATATTCAATTCACATTCAACAATACATATATGATCATTAAAGATTATATATTGCTCTATCAAGTAAACAAATTTTTGATACTTTGAAAAAAAAATGTTGTTAACCATTTATTATTATATACTATTTGTTATATATAAAAATAAGTCGTATGTTAAGAGATAATCTTTTGAATTAAAAGAAGAAACGAAGAAAAAAAAATTTCAGAGAGATATTAATCATCATTCATTTTTAATGGTTAATAAGCAAAATACTGAATATAACAACTAAACAGTAATCGAAACATTATGAATAAAACTATTCGATTTTGTTGGTTGATTATTACTGTTATTAGCATTATTATTATTATTATTATTAATATCCGATGAAGTATATATGACTGGTATTCTTCCAGCTCGATAATTATTCATTTGTATATGAATAAATGGAGTTGTACTATCATCAGTTGATGAATTTGCTGCACTTGATGATGACGATGATGATGATGTTGATGATGAACAAGATAATGATGGATGATTATGAACTAATAGAATAGATGTTGGTGGTGAAAGTGAATCATTTTCAATCTGATTAAGACTTAAATCAGAAAAATGTCTTTCAAGTTTTAATTTTGATGGTATAATTGCTGGTGGTAATGATGGTTCAGCAAGAACAATATTTCGTAATTGTTGTTCTTTAATAGTTTTAAATGGATCGGGTGATGATGAAGATTTTGTATATAAAGGTCTTTTAATTACAGATTGTGTATGATGTGGTAATGAACGTCGTGTATATGGTGTTGTTTGACGAGTATTTGTTGGAGAATTCATATTATT